CGTTGCTTGGAGTTCCGCGTCGACTTGTTGAGCTTTAATGATGTCTTCCTGAGATATTCTCAGGGGTAAGCCCAGGCTTGTGTTTTCTGGAAGCATAGACTCCAGTTTGGGAGTCGAATTTCTTGACGATGATGGCGGGTGTGGTTCAGACGTTATGTCAGCCAATTGTTTGGTCTGGCTTCTTGTCACCGCACATGCAGGATACAGTTCATAATCATTATCTGGAACTGTTGACAAAGGGTCTGAAACCGTACAGGGGTATACTTTGCTTCCCGCAAGGTCATTCCCTAGAAGTAGGTGTACTCCTGGGACTGGAATACTATCTATCACACCTTCGACGAGATGATGTTTCAGGGCAAACTTGTGTAGAGGGACGACAGTAGATTTTGTCCCCACTCCCTGGATAATGGAAATCTTTCCGGTGTTCGTCTCTGGTGAAATGTCCATTGAACTTTTCAAAAGGAGTGATTGTGACGCTCCTGTGTCTCTTAGGACGGTGATATTCCGCTGAGACAACGGATCACCTGGTTTGCTAATGAGGGCTTCAGCAATAAAAGATGAAAAGTCAACTTTTCTCGATCCCTCGAGATCGGTAGACTCGGAAGAAACTGGATGGTGGCGAGAACAGTCAAAATGTGACTGCACATAATGTGTGGAGACTTGACTACCTTCTTGCGGACACTTAGGGTTAGAGTCCTTTAGAATTCTAGAGTTCATAGTTGAACTGGCTGCTTGAGGGGATAGAGCATAGTGCGCAGAAGTACGCACCACCTCTCTGTTATATTGACGACGTTTGTAACAGTCCTTGACAAGATGACCAGGCCTTTTGCAGAACTGGCATACTGCTCGACGATTGAGAGTTGATCTTGGTTTCTCTCTGGACTGTAATGCCTTCACGTGTTGGCCAACAGGAGGATTGCTGCCAAAAAGGGGAAGCACGGGGTTGAGGCGGTTTCCTGACACTGGTGGTTTCTTATGCACCAACATATATGTGTCAGCCGACTCAGCAGCCTTCTGGATGTCAGTTATCTTGTTATCCAGTATGTGTAGTCGTATCTCTTCAGGCAGGGACGATAGGAATTCTTCCCTTAGGATAAGTGACCTGAGTTTCTCAAACTCAGAAACTTCCTCAGAGTGTAGCCACCTTGAGAATATTTTCTCCTTTTCAAAGAGAAATTCCACATATGATTGTGTGGGTAACTTGCGGAGTGTTCGGAATTTTGTCCGATAGGCCTCGGGCGTCAGTGCGTAGGCCTTTAAAATGGCAGTCTTGACCAAACTATAGTTATTTTGAACGTCGTGAGAGAGTGCCTGGTATGTCTTTGCAGCTTTCCCAGTAAGGACAGAGCTCAATAAAGCAGTAATGGAAGTTTCGGGCCATTCACATGTCTTCGCTAAACTCTCAAACGAGTTAAAGAAAACGACCAAATCTGTTTCATCAAATTTCGGAACTAATTTCCCAAATTTGGCAATCACTTGCCCTACCGACAACTTTTTTGGATCTACCGGAGAAGTGACATCACTAACTTGGCCAAACTCTAATTCCAACCTCCTCTTATCTAAAGCAATTTTAGCCTCTAACTCCTGTTTCTCTAGAGCACTTCTAGTTTCAAACTCCTTTTCTTTTAATAGAAGCTCCCTCTCTTCTATAGATTTCTCCTCGCGGAGCAACACACTAGCTAACAAACTTTCGTCAAATACTCCTTCATTAATGAAATGAACAACAATTTTATCTCTCAACACTTCTGACTTCTGCGTAACAGAATAATCCAATTTCAATTCCTTAACAACACTAACCAAAACTTTTCTACTCAACTTTTCTACATCTTCAACAGTAGGATTAGCCAAAAACGACTCCATAACACTAACTTTCAAATCACAACAAGCCTAGGTTCACTAACTTAGCACGGTGAGTTGGGCCGTGTACTTGACCTCTAAATGTAGGACGTGACACGTCTGCTTATTTGACCTAGATACTCTAGCCTGAGCGCGCGTTGTAAGACCACGGCGCTACACTGGATATAAAAACAACTAGACCCAACTAAACTTAGGGCTTAACTGATATAACCAACAACTGGAACGACAGATTAAATCTCGGCGAGCTCCCACTTTGTAACGTTAACCTATCTATCAGCCAAATAGAAGGAGAACGTCCCCGGATTCTTTTTTCGGGGTCATATGCAAATGCCTTACGGCCTACGTGGATGAACACTTAACACAACGACACACTAGGGCTCGAAATTAATGTCTAGGGAAGCTAGTGATACAATTGTAATTAACACTCATCCAATCTACATACGACCTTTTAATCAGCGAACACAGATGTGGTAGAACACAAAGATGAACTAGATAAAATATTTAATCTATAAAATATCAAAAACCCAACTTACAAAATGCAGGAAAAAAACACTATCACAGATTTCTACACTGTCTAAAGAACAGCTACAGGCCACACAACACTGCTGTAGTTTCTAGAATTACTTAGCGACAAGTAATATTAAACTAGAAGACTAAATCAACTTAAGAAAGCAAGGCACACACAGGTCTTAAGTACTCTCACGTTCAAATGGTCAGAGTCTATAGCCGGACAATATGGACGGCAACCTGACCAAGGTAAAACGGCCTCGTAGACTGCCAGGTCAAGATAAACTGCCTCGTGTTGCGAGTGTGCGGGGCAATTAAAGACTTCTGTGACAGGGGAGGTTATCCTCAACTCATGTCGCCATTGGTTGGGATAATCATCTGATCAGAATCATTCAATCAGATTTTAATGGAAATTTTCTATGTCTCAAACACCTTAATAAGTCAGTGGAAAAACCCCAGGTGTTACACCATCATTCCATATAAGGAATTATACAATGTCAAAATAAAAATGACTCGACCTAAGTAGGTCACACTCTGATAGTTTTTATAATTTCTAATTAAAAATCTCAAAGTCTATAGTCTTGTAGCCGCCTATGATTTTAGTATTGACTCGTTTCTGTTGAGAAAATGCAACGAAATTGTTTTACAGTTTACAGATATTACGAATACTGTGTTAAAGGGATATAATTGCACTTCATTGTGAACGAACTACAAAACCAGTTTCCGCTTTTTAATTTATATAAACTCTATATTACATTAGTGAATTTTGTAAATCCTTATATTTAAAAAAAAATGAAGAATTTACAATAACTCTTTGTAGCCTTATTGGCCATATAACAAGTTTCAAGATCATTACGATTTTATAGAACGTTAAAAGTCTTTGATCATGTAGCCTGTTTATTACGTATTCACACGTTTCATCTGAATAAATACGACAAATTGATTTTTAGTTTAGTTTACAGATCTTGCAAAAACTATGTAAAAAGGATATAATTTCACTGTCCACTCATAACCATATAATTTTTACTTTATATAAAAATCATATCCCACTATTCTATCTTGTAAATCCTTTATAAAAAAGTGAAGAATTATTCTATCAAATTGCGTAACATTATTCCTAAGAAAAGGTTGAAGAGTAGTGGTGGAACTAGGCAAAAAAAAGGCTCCGCCGCTAAAAAGATTTTGGAGCCCCCTAATATATATATATATATATATATATATATATATATATATATATATATATATATATATATATATATATATATATATATATATATATACATATATATATATATATGTATATATATATATATATATATATATATATATATATATATATATATATATATATATATATATATATATATATAATATTTATTTAAAAATATTTGTAGCCTGCTTCACTAAATTTTAGGTAATATATTTCCAGAGTAATTTTATCTATTTCATTACAATGTATAACCATTCTGAGACAACAAACCAGACAAAATCAGCCCACATTAATTTCGGGCATGAAATAAACATGTTTTATAATTTTTAATATAGCAAAGGCAAAATAGCTTGTAAAAAGTATATAAAATTGTAAGATGGATTTGTGCAATGGTTTCTCGCGTTATGTTAATTTTTATAACTTTTTGTATTTATTTTATTAATTTTAAATGCATTCATTTTTATAGATATACTATTCTTTAGCATGTCTTATTTAAAATATAATCAAGAGAATCCATTGCTTTTCAATTTACATAGTACAGAGCTATTTAAATGAGCTTCATATGCACCCCTATTTTAAAGAAGGACAGTAAGTCATGGAAGTGGTGTAAACGTTTGCCCATCTTTTAAACCAGCTCTTGTAGATTATACAATATTTTTCTACGCAACAGTGTGTGTTGGTTACTGTAGAACAATCACTGCTATAGTAGACCTGTTTTTTTTTTACAAAACCACCATCAAGGTGCACAAAAGACATTTATGAAAACAAAATTTATTGTTTTTTCGTCGGAGTAGGGTCCCATAAACGCCCTGCCCCCAGCGTTTCTTCCAGACTTTTTTCTCCGGGAGGGCACTTGAAATTTTCGGGGGGGGGGGGGGAGGGGGGGCGGACACTGTTAAAAGCATATATTTTCTATATAAATTATGTAAATTTCATTTCGTTCGGGGGGGGGGGGGGAGGTAAAAAATGTTCGGGGGGGGGGGGGGGGGCTTAGCCCCCCCCCCCCCCCTCCTTGAAGAGATGCCTGGAAGAAACTCTGCCTGCCCCCCAACCCTGTATTGCTGGGTCTGGCGGCATGGTAGTTCCGCCCCTGTTAAAGAGCCTTAAGAGATTATAGAATGTTGTATGTTTTTAAAAACACTTTTGGTTAAGTAATAATTGAACACATGTTACTTATAAATTAGTTAAACATCCGTGTAAAAAAAAACAGCATGTGTAATACATATAGTTTAGACGTTTAAAAATACTTTTTTTCTATACAATTGGCTCATGGTCAAAGTTTTTTTTTTCATCAGAGTATTTCATTAGATTATAGATTACATTATAGTTTTAACAAGCTAAACTAGTAAAACACATTGTATACAACACAAAATCATTGTAAACTTCAACTGCAATAAAAAATAAAATTAAAATCCCAATCAACCAGATGAGGACAACATGAGTGTCAACAAACCAACGCCATCTTTACCACAGCCTGACACACAGACAACAGCAACATTTCTAACAGGAGAATCACCAAGACAACTCAAGACACAAGTCACACATACAGCCGGTATGTCTTAGTTTTGTTTGATATAACGAGTTAAGTAGCTGCATCATAAGCCGTTTACAGTGCTAAAGCGTGTACGGTTAGATACTTTTTAATTTAAAAAAAGAAAACTACTTTAATTTTGTTGTGTATTCTGTTTTAAAGAACCTATTTTTCCACATTTCATTCCTTTAAAATTACAAACTGAATATTTTTGACTATTTTCAGTTAAAGAACATCCTGACCTAGAGCGTAGACTCGCCTATATTGAAACAACACTATGGTACCTACAGGACACACAACACAAGTCAACAGATGACATATCAGAAATAAAACAATGGAGAGATAACTTTGTAACTGAACAGAGTGACATGGGGGTAAACATTGAACAACTGACTAAAAAACAAAAACAGAATTTTAAAAACCTCAGAAAACAAATGAATGAACACGATAACAAAGTAAAGGAGCTAGACAAAGAAATTGAAAGTTTAAAAGAAAAAGAATCCAAGTCAAACAAAACACTAGAAAGATTGTCTCTAGATATGAAAGAATATGAAAACAAAGTGCGCAAAATAAACAAAGAGATGCAAGATATAAGAGACAGTATGAAACAAGAAATTAAAAGCCATTCTGATTTGATTGTTTCCTTACAACATGAAAATAAAAAAAAACATTGTCAAAACATCAACTCAATTTGAAAAGTTACAATCAAAGGTATATTTTAAAATTGTTGTGCTTTTTGTACACATTTCTTTTATTACTTGCAATTCAATTTACTTCAAATTTTTAAATGTGACAGTTGGCTAATTTAACCTATAATCATAACTGTTATATAAATGCTAATTGTATGTTAGTTTTAATATACAACAAAAATAATTAATTGTAGAATTCTTTAATTATGATCGTCGGTCATTTAGCACAATGTGATGTACAAACTCCTACAACAAAGATTGATGCCCATTGAGAAACTGATTCAAATCTTTAACCAGAACTTTGAAACTAGAGAAGAAAAATTAAATAAGGTATGTTTGAAATACTGTTTAAAAAATCATTTGCAACATTGATAAATCCTAAATTACTCCAGTAATGTCCATAATGTTTGGGAATTCACTAATAAATAGTTTATTAATTAAATAAGAATATACAATAAATCATTTCCTTTTTTTAAAAGTTACCATTATCTATTGAAGCTAGTGAGTCAGTAGATATGTGATTGTTTCATTTGTTTCCTTTACACTTTATTTTAATTTAGCTGGGTGAACTTGAAAATACTATTTCAAAGTTGTCTAACGATTTTCATCTCATAGGTAAGTTTGCTTTGTAAAAAAAAGTTTTTAAATCTTATATATATAACAATAGTGATTTTATGACAAGTTTATCTATTGATTTCCTCGTTTAAATGTAGGAATAGTAAAAGATATCAAATAATTCTCAATGATAACCGATCGGTAAAATGTTTTATACGTTTGTTTACCGCCCACTCTCACGCTCTCTCTAAATCTCTTACTCTCTGCATTTCTATTACACGGACGTACAGCGGTCTACCCTAGTACAGTAAGACATATACAGAGCTGCAGTTTAAAATTAACTAATTTTATTAACGTCACGTCATCCCCTTATGTTTCTTATATTAAGAAGTTTTCACATACGAGCCAGATCTGAAATATAAAAAAGAAAGTAATAACCTGAAAACATTGATAATTATACATTTTTAACATCTTAGTGTCTAATTAATTTGCTGTAAACTGAAATGAACATTACAAAATGCTGACTGTGCAAATCTTGTGATCGGTCATTATTAAGTAGGCCTACAACAGAACAACTTTAGTTCTAGTAATTCTTGTTTCGATAGATAAGTCATATATAATTAAACTATAATGTGAACACATACGGACTGCATGATTATAATGGGAGTCGGACGATTTCCCGAAAGACACTTTCCCGAATGCGACAATGCCCAAAAGCCATTAGCCCGAAAGCCGTTCGCCCGAAAAATGTGAACATTACTGATTACCAAAAATCATTTTTAACAATTTAAATTTGAAATGTTGATAATTAAATAAATGTCTAACCAAATTGAAAGGGAACAAAATACTATTTAATATCTGCAAGCAGGCATTATGAATTAATTAGTATCTGCTATATTATAGAAAGTGTAGGGCCTACATCTTTTGCTATCTATAAAACAAGACGAAAATATAATTTTCGCTTATCTGAGGTTTTTAAAATGATTCTCATTTTGTGTATTATAAACAAATTTGTTTTTTATGCCCAGAATTGTGTTATCAAAATGTCAAACTTGAATTGATTAAGAATGTCTATTTGATATTAACAAATGCCCATTCGGATATTTGTCGCATTCGGGAAAGTGTCCGTTCGGGAAATCGGCCTTGGGGCAAACGGCATTTGGGCAAGTGTATGTCAGGAATTTGTCGTAGACCCGGTTTTAGCATATCGTATATAACATGTGTTGTACGTTTTGTGAGGTTTTAATTGACCTACTAAACTGGTAGTGTCAATACGTAGGAAACGATAACCTAACACCACACAAACTAAGGACCGTACTAATTTAGTGGTGTAGTGTTTCAATTTATGGTCTTTCACAAAGTTATGTAAACATTATAGATTATTAAACATAGTTTATTTTTTTTAAAATAATTGTTTGATTTGGGTTTGTCAATTTTACTTACATTATAAACTGCATACAAAACACATATAATGAGATGATAACATAAGCTAAAGAAACGACAATTTACAAATATTATGGATCAAATAGTCAGAGCATTCGTAAAATTGAACATGTACATCAAACGCATGTTTTCTAATCAACAGAGTCACGTGTATGTAACAGATATGCTTGTCATGTACAGCTTGCTGATCCCACACCTGTCAGTGATGGATCAATTATTTCAACCTTTAATGGAGTACGTGAATATAACGGTCAACATTTTAATCAAACAACAGGAAAATTTGTATCACCACATGATGGTTTATATCTCGTCTGTGTCAGTCTACATGAATGGGAAGATAAAGAGATTAGAGTTGGTGTGATGGCTGGAGACGTGTGGTGTACGACTATAGAAGTGAAATGTGCCAGAACTAGCGCTGCTGACTCAGTGGTTGTTGACATGAAGAAAGGTCAAGAACTTTACTTTCGAGTGTTCCTCGCAGATCAAGACGCAGCTTTATCCTGCTATAGTAGTTTTATTATCGTTAGTTTATAGAAGTACAACACGAAATATGGTGGATGGTAAATTCTCAAACAATAAAATATGTAACCATCATGTAATACACACGCTAACAACTTACTGTTTTTGTAGACTACATGTCTACACAAACTTAAGTGGTTTATATGTTATTCGTTTAGTCATCATTTGGGAGTTCTAGCTCATTCAATGCGCTCACCGATAATGTGTCATACTTGACGACACTAAGCTCATATATATAATAGAATTATAAGACTGCTTTGTTTAAATATCTTTTATCACGCACTAGGTGTATGGTCTAATCATACTTATTATGTTAATTGTTTAAAAAAACAACTTATACCTGGAACTACATGATTATGAACTATTTAAAAAAAAGATTGTTAGAATGAGTTCACTTAACAAACATTAACATTTGTATTTTGTATTTAAAACATTAATTTGTTATTAACATTAAAAAATATTTTTTAAATTATTATACTGCAAAGAACTGTTGTCATTTTGATCACTACTGCCTTTAATTTGAAAAAAAATAACTGTTTCCGTGTTAGAATAATTTTTGTTTTTGGTTTGTATTCAGTAACATTGTGTCTGTAAATTAACATACATTAACACCTATAATAATTATAACATCTATTTAGCTATCAAGTATATATGTATAAATATAATTAAATAAATAAATAAATATATATATATATATATATATATATATATATATATATATATATATATATATATATATATATCTATATATATATATATATATATATGTGTGTGTGTATTCATGTATATGTATTTGTATGTATATGTATGTTAACACAGAGCCTTACATCGCACAATCAAAAAGCTCAGCTGTAGTGACAATCAAATCTACAGCCAAATGTGTACAATCATTGATTCCGATCTGTCTACTTAATAAATATAAATCATGTTTGTCTGTTTTATTTGATATTTTCATTTTAATTTTAAAATAAAATTAATACTATACCAAACACAAACAAATTAAACGACGCTATGTCTTATGGGTCTATGACGTCACACCCCTACGTCATTATCCCCGTTTTCAAGTAATGGATCTCATTATTGCTTTCACTGAAGTCGAGAGTTCGGTCCCTTTCCTAAATTAGGCTCTATAACCAGGGACAAATACTCATCTAGGAGAAAAACTCCTAAATGAAACAAGTGCTGCCTTGTACTTTGTTCTTTATATGAACAAATGCTATGGAATCAAAGCCAGAAATAAAAGCTGGATGTACACAGTTTTAGCGTGCAATATAGCGCATAGCGTTTGACCCACGGCGATGTATCAGTTCTATGAAAATATTCAGGTTAAATCTGCCCAGACTAACTCTGCTCATTAACTAAAAAATTATAAGGAAATATGAACTGATCTAGCTACACATTGACTAACACAACGTTTATTTTACAATCGTTGAGCTTGTGTTGTATTTTGTTTAAACAATAAAATATCACAATTATTTCTATTTGTTTTATATTTTAAATAACGTTTAGAAACAGCTTTTTCTGCCCACACGTGTGTGTGAGCTAAACCAAATCTTGTGTGTGTGTGTGAGCTAAACTAAATCTTGTGTGAGTGAGATAAACCAAATCTTGTGAGTGTGAGCTAAACCAAATCTTGTGTGTGTGAGCTAAACTAAATATTGTGTGTGAGCTAAACCAAATCTTGTGTGTGTGAGCTAAACTAAATCTTGTGTGTATGAGCTAAACCAACTCTTGTGTGTGTGTGAGCTAAACCAAATCTTGGGAGTGTGAGCTAAACCGACCCTTGTGTGTGTAAGCTAAACCAAATCTTGTGTGTGTGAGCTAAACCAAATCTTGTGTGTGAGCTAAATTAAATCTTGTGTGTGAGCTAAACCAAATCTTGTATGTGAGCTAAACTAAATCTTGCGTGTGAGCTAAACCAAATCTTGTATGTGAGCTAAACCAAATATAGTGTGAGTGTGAGCTAATCCAAATCTTGTTTCTGATGTTTACTCACACATACACACAAGAGTACACATAAATGCTTGCACGTGAGTGCACACATGTGTATATGTGAACTCGAAAACTTGTATGCATGCATGAGGTGACACACATTTGTTGTTATACTGTAAGGATATGTTTAAGTGCAGTATTCTAGACGGAGATATGGAAAAAATTGTTTTAAGTGTTTGTAAATACACCTTTTATTTTCGTTACAAAAAAAAAACATTTTAAAAGTATTTAATATAAATGTAATTAATATAACTTTGACAAAATATTCACTTTTTAAAAATAGTAGATGACATTCTATAAAATCACAATGGCATCAGTGACTGTTTAAGTAACTGGAGTAATTATAGTTAGTGTGTACCTGTTTGTGTACATGTTTGTGTACCTGTTTGTGTACCTGTTTGTGTACCTGTTTGTGTACCTGTTTGTGTACATGTATATAATGTGTGCGAGTACAGCGTATGACATTCAAGTTCTTCTACCGGGTTAGTGTAGGTTAGTTCTGTGTAAAATTTGACTGCCGGCACGCTTTGAAATCGGGCTGGGGAAATGTTGCGGCGACTATCCTGGTCTTCTAGACAACCGGAAAAAGTCGGCACTATTGATATAGATATTCATCGGTGCTTTCTTGTCTACTTCCAATGAACCTTCCCAAATCTCTCCCCTCCCCCCTCTCACCCCTACCCCTCACCTCTACCCCTCACCACATCCTTACTCTTACAATAATATGTAATGCATAGATTAACGAACCCTCTATGAACTACTGAACTGTAAACTTACCACTTCTGCACATTTTGTTAAAGACACTAGTCAGTAGTTGTCATTTACCCCGCCAGAACCCGCAATGCGCGGGGAGGGGGCAGGCCGTTTAGGGGCCCACGGCTGACCAAAATTAATATTTTTTAAAATTTTGAATGTAATTTTCGTGCATTTTTGCCTTGATATTTGGTTTGTAAAAGAAAAACACTGTAGCTGCTGTACGATTATCTTTATTTTACAGTCACTATACTACGCTCTTCCGCAAAAAATAAAATCCATTACACAAACTACAGTGTAAAATATAGGCAACTCTTCAAATTTGAATGACTTCTTTGACTCGTCGCCCCCCCCCCCACCCCCCCCCCCCCCCTTTGATAGCTAAATAGAGGACACGTAACTGTTTGACCGATCCTCCAAAGTATACTGTGGCGGATGGGGCAGGGGATGGGGACCAAAAAGGGGGTTAAAAAATTGTCGACAAATTCTTTACATATTTAAAACAGTTATTTATAGTTGTATTTTTTAACCATCGTCAAGGCCGAGTTCTATTTCCCTACAATCAAACACACGCTGTCGCCGGCAAAATTTAAAAAAAAAAACAACAAAGTTCACAGCACGAAAAGCTGCTACATATGAAGTGGGCTTTCATGTTGCGCGGTTCTTCTTTGCGGCATTGGTAAGGGACCCGAAATCCATTGTACATTTTTCAATGTTAATATGTGTTTGTGATAGGGGTTGAATTTGTATCCTGTACTATTTTGTATCTTACAAATAATAAAAAAATAATATAATACTAGAAACTTCAGTTTTATATACATTTACTTGTTTTTGCTTTTACAAGAAATATCATGGTAAACTTTTAAGGCCTATACTTGGAATTATCTCCCTTGAGTAAGTTTTACAATGGGCGATGCTGACGCACATAAATCAAGGCGTTTTGTTGTCTCTTTCAAGTTTTTTCCCATCCCTCTTTCTCAACCTCACATGTATCGAGGAGATAAATGTATCGTTTATGAACTACTTCCTAACCGAAAGATTCACCACTTCAAAACATTTTGTCAGACACTAGACAACACTAGATCTAGTCAACAGATATACATTTACTTTCATAGTATTCGGCACATCTGATTCACAAAACAGGGCAGGTAAGATTATTTTTTATATAATTATTTAGAAATTAATTAGAACGTTTAGAATTAATTGAACATTATTAATATTCAATTACTATTTATAAATGACGTCATTGAGGTAAGGGTGTGTGAGCGTCTGGTTTTTTGTAAGTCCCCCCCTCCCCTAAATCAGAAAGTTATCCAACGCGTGACCTGGCCACATACAGTTGTACATGTGAAAAACATTTTTCTGTCTATTATGCATTACTGCATCATTCACCCAATCGCCATGAAAACTTGGGAAGCTGTTGAGTACAGCCCCGCAAAGGTTTCTGTCATAGACCTAACATTTGTACATATTGGAGTGGGGACTCCTAGCGGAAATATGCGATTTAGCGCCCCGTGATCCTGCATAAGCGGATTAGGCTACTACTTGAATGCAACCGGCGGCAGTGTCATCCTGAGCGCATCACATATGAGCAAGTTGGCCCCCACAGACAGTCGTTTAAACGTTCCCACAACACTAGGAATAACTCTCGCTACTACACTCGATGACTAAATATAATTAGGTGTCGCACCAGTGTTTCTTCCAGGGTAGACTGTTTTCGTGGGAAGGGAGGGGGGGAGCTCTGCCGGAAGAAACAATGTGTTGCACCCATCACCCGTGCAGTAATGTAACCGGTAGCTCCAAGAGCCCCGTGACTCCCCTGACACCTGGGCCGTCACCGAGGGACTTACAGCATGCCTTGGCGTGTCTAGTTGGTATTGTGGACAAACCCGCGCCCTAAGATCCAATAAATGAACTGCCGACATTGTTAACATTTCATTCAACTTCTGGAAAACAGGGCACACGGTTGGTAACGTTTTGATGAAAGCCTCATAAAAATCGGCGTCAGTTTGGTGTGTTGGACTAGATTTAAAGAGTCCGTGGTTCTCACTTAGAAAACTGAAAGGGGCCAGCTCATGTGTTGGAAAACCTCTGATTTATTCGTGTACCAGATGGACATTTTTAAAAAAATTTAGGGCGACCCTTGTTTTCCATATATGTATGTATATATATATATATATATATATATATATATATATATATATATATATATATATATATATATATATATATATATATATATATATATATATTTCGTGGGTCGGGCAGATGGGTCGGGAAATTTGATGGTGAACGTACCCACGTTTTTTGTCATCAAATGTATGAACAGTCATCACAAGAACCTGCACAGCTCGAGGAAGCACAAAATCTACGAGCAGTCATTGGTAGATCCCCTAGGGTCGGAAGAAAAATTTATTTTCTACTTTTTAGTCCACAAGAAAAACGTGGTTTTTTAAAAAGTTTTTTTTTAAGTATTTTATTTTCTAGTTGAATTGTGGTCTATTTTATAAATTCGATCTTTAGTAGATATTTCCATTTTTAATTAATAACATAGCAGAAACATAATTTAGGTGAGAAAGGAACTGATTTTAAAATTTAGCTACATAATAAAATGTTCACTTTAAGCCTCAAGTAAAGTGTTATGGTGTTTGTTTGATCATGTGCGTTTATACGAACAAATATTGGTGCGAAAGATATAATGAACGCACGAAGATGTGTTGGGGTGAGGTCGAAGTGTAGTCAAGTCTCAGTAGCGTTCGTTCAAGTCGTATTATGTATTTTATAGTATAAAAACTATTGAAGTTAATGTCGTCCTGTTCTATGTTGAAACTTTAGGAAGAACTACTGAATTGTTAGATATGAACATAGTGGTATTGAATACCATCTCACTGCATAACTGCGGGTAACATAGACCCTAGTTATAACATAACGATCCATTGATAGCATCGCATGTGAAAGCATAAATTAAAGTAACTCACACCAATTACCCTTTTCATTCTTTAACATTAGAACGGTGTGGTCTGTCATGTGATAACTGGAAAGTGGCGGGTTTGGATTTCCGGCTAGAGTCAACTACGTCATCTATAATCGAGACAGTTCTGGTGGTTACTTTTAACACTTTACAAGGTCAACATCAACATAAACACATACATGTTCATGTTATATTGAATCACCTGAAAAATTATACAGGAATGGATGTAGGGAGGGGGTTTTCAACTAAACCAAATATATTTGTCATAACTATAATCTTTGAAATGAACTGAATAACGAAAACAAATTTGCTTTGATCGATCAGGAAATCACATAGCCTACACAGTTTTTCATTAATAATTTTTTTAAAATAAGCAAGTTTAGTTTATATTCTTGTTTTCACTTCAATAAAAAGCTTTTTATTTTCAAAAGAAGAAATAATATTACAAAATATTTTGTCTACTAAACCGTGCTAATTTACATAACAAACGTATTCTACCGGTAGTAACTTCAGCTTGTGGCCTATTGTAAAACCTGCTTCTTATTAAAACAAATTAAAATAGCTAGTACCTATACAACATAATTACACTGAAATTCGGGCATTTGTCACATTCAGGCAATTTCCGTTTGGGAAATCGGTCTTCTGGCAAACGGCATTCGGGCAAATGTCTTGCGGAAAACGTCCGGCTCCCCTTATAATATAATGTATTTTAATTATTCTATCTTAAAACATCCCTTTACATCGATGCGACATGAAGCCGCTATGTTGTAAGATAAGAGTATTTTTTAGAAAAATGTATTCCAGTTAAAACGTTTATTGGAAATTGTAATGGTGCTGAGGTAACATAACGGCAGCCATTGTAATCAAACAACAGGAAAACTTGTAGCACCAGATGATGGTTTATATCTGGTTATTGTGACGTTAGTAGCCGGTGGAAATAATCCGATTTTGGTTCAAGTAGCAGTCGGAGAACTAAAGTATAAAACTATTTATGTGAAACCTGACAATATTTCTGCTTGTGGATCAACTATAGTTCCGGTGAATAAAAGGTCAAGAACTATATTTTAAAGTTCAACAATCAGGACCAGGGCCTTTCCTGCAAAAAGGAAGCGGTTTCACTATTTTAAGAATTTAGCTAAAAGGAATATTGTTGTATTTTTAAACCAAACTTAAAAATCAAATGTTATCTCAGTTGAATATTACCATAAGGGTTCATTCTCGCTATGAGCTTTTAATAAACTGCATAGACAAAAGAGGTAACGGCGTGGCTTTGCGATAGAGTAAAAGCCTGCTAACCCGAAAGTCTCAAGATAGAATCTTGGTCCATGACAGTAGATCGTCCCCGAGTCTGCTAGCTGTGATGTCCACCTAGCTCATTAACTAAATCTTCTTTTTATATGCCGAGGTCAAGAAACATAAGAACTCTACTTCGCAAGATATAAAGAGGATTATTTACTTTATACACTGAAGATATCATGACTGTTTTCTAACTCTACCTAGCATTATTTCTGCATATTATATTAAGTCTTTATATTTGTAATATTATTAAGTCCTTAATAAGAAAAGAAGTAACAACGGATGCAGGAAAACTGATTTGACAATCATAAATGTTTACTCTATACTTGATACATGTAATTGTATTTTGCAAATTTAATATTTTACTGGTATTGGAAATATATATTTTGTTATTCAATATGAGCCTAATAAAATTTGGTTCTAATTATTCTATATTGGTTAACACCCTTTGCTGTCTCATGTGTTGTAAAAAAACCTAGCTCAAGTGGTATCGCTTTTAGCAATAGTATTTGTATGAAACCTATCTTCATTATAGACATATAATAAGCAAACATCTAAAAAACCATGTCCTAATATAATGTCCATTTCTTCACTCTTAAATATGCGTCTAACACTACACTAACTAACACAATTTATCAAGAAGGTGGGTGGATTTGTTGGTTGTGAAAACTTAAAATGATCAGCGTGAAGAGAACACTTATCATTTTCATATCAATGGCTCGACACAAACATGTGCGTCCACTGAGATTTTAAAAGGCCGAGATCCGAGGTTTATATTTCACCCATCTTATTTGCTTGTTATTTACTCTACGCTGACTTTGTGTAATACAGAGAAATGTATCACTAACATACAACCAATTTAGTTTATAAACAGTCTATCAGTAGTCATATACGGTTTGATTTGATCACACCTGAACTATAGCTGATATCTATCTTCTATCTATATATATAATTCTCTTCTGGGAGCCGCTAGAAAACAAGCTGTAAACGCGCTCCCTACCTCCCCACCCCTACATGGTCTTAGTGAGCTGTGTTCACTCTAAATGTTTACAAGCAGAGCCAACGATTTTAAACGTAAGGGGGGGGGGGGGGGGAGAGGGGGGGGGGAGGAAGGTGGGGGGGGGGGGGTTATGGTCCTTAACGAGCTACTTATAGTGTTTTAAAAAATATTTTTAGTGGCAGCGTTGGTACTGTCGAATTCACAAATTATGAATTACTGAAAAGTAGAAAATAAAACAACTAAATAGCGGCGTATATTATGCCGCGGGCCGGCTCGTATATATAATTCTCTTCTGGGAGACGCTAGAAAAAAAAGCTGCAAGCGCCTCCTTGCAGTCCCCTCTCTTTCTCTCTATCCCTATCACTACCATCCCCACCCCACCCCCACATGGTCTGGTGAGCTGTGGTCACGTTAATGTTTACAAATCGTAGAGCCTGGTTTAGTGACGGCTATTAGGGGCAGATAATTTATTTTTAACCGATTTTAAACTTACAGGAGGTAACTAAGAAGAGTGTAGGGTCGGGGTTAGGGGAAAGGAGGGGGGGGGGGTTAGTGTTTTAAAGCAAATATTTTCAGTGGCAGCATTGGTACTGTCGAATTCACAAATTATGAAAGTAGAAAATAAATCAACTAAATGGTGCCTTCCGACTTAGGGTGATATACAAATATACCTTTAATGTTTAGGGGAAATGACTCCTGTTTTATTTATTTTTCCCGTAGTATTAGTTTGTCTTAAACTAACGTTTTGCATTATATGTATGCGTTTTATCACAACAAATATTAATATATTACTTTCGTACTAACCCATATCCTGCTAGCGTTTCATAGCTTGTAAAATAACAACTGAAACTACTTAAACACTAGTCTATTTAAGAAAAAAAAACAATAATGTTTAATTGCATTAATTGGACAATTTTTACTTCCTCGTATACTTATATAAACTATCAAGTTGTTTGATTACAGTTTTAACCATTAAATTCATGTACATTTTAAAATCTTGACATGATTAAACCATGAGAGAAAGTGATGCTGCAAGCTGTATGCGACAAGCGTATTGAAATTATTATGTTACATAATCATACTCAGTTGACTAGACAAATTATTTTATGATGTATATGTTCATTTCACAAGGGCATGCGAAGCATAGCTACTTTATATTGTCTTAACATTAATTTATGTTATAACACTCAAACACAAACACTTAGTGTGTTTAAATGTTGTATTTTAAAATGCAACCGAAAAAGAAGAAAACCCATTTGCTTTAAAAAAAAATACGTGTAGATTAAAATTCAGTATGTTTACATATTTCTCTATAATAGGACTACCAGAAACAGCGAAACCTACCTATTGAAACGATATGCACATGCATACAACATAGGAACATTGGATAATCAAAAACAATCGAAAATGATGTGGTGTGCAATAAACGATAAACTAATAATTTCATAAGCGTGAGTAAATTTATAATCTGAGAATAGTAAATCCACTTCCTGCGTGTAGCTTGGCTCCATCATCAGCTTGGTCCACTTTAAAATAAAGTTCTTCGCCTTTCTTCATGTCAACAACAGCTGATCCAGCGGTAGATGTGTTGGCTGAGTTGACAAGAATGCTCTTATACAATGTATCACCCCTGTACACACTAATGTTAATCAGTTTAGCCTCACCTTCCTGCAGCGTTACAATCACAAGATAGTTACCATCATCTGGTGCTACAAGTTTTCCAGTGGTTCTATTAAAATGGCTGCCGTTAGGTTCCCACACTTTATAAAATGTTGAAAGAAGTGATCCAGTTGTCACAGGTGTGTTGTTGTCCAGGTGAAGTTGACAGATGTAAGGCTGACATACACGGGTCTCTGTTGGAAAGTTTAAGTTAGAGTTTAATCATAAACTTTTGCACACGTCTCTGTGTGTCTGTTCATAATTATGTGTATGTTTACTGTCATGGCTAGATAGATAGAATTAGACTAGACTAGTAGAGGTTACTAAGGACGGTGCGAACTTGACGGTCGACGATTTGGTGCAAGAGTATTGTGCGCGTGTTCAATAAAATATGTCTGGCGTGAGTGTTACGTGAGCATGAAGCGACAATGTACAGATGACGTAAGACGCATCAGTGAAGTTAGTTGTGAGTTAGCTATAGTAGAAGACGGACGTGTTTTGATATTGTGTAATAGATCTGTAAGTATGTGATAAAGTTAATTATTTTTTATACTCCAAGTTGTTAATATCTTTAATTAGTGCCTGAGGAAAATTAGAGTGATCCCGTCCTCCTCACATGTGTATAGTTGCAGAATGAATAATAGGAGTCAGAATCTATAGATTATATATAATACATACATTAACCCCCCCCCCCCCCCCCCCCCCCATCACATTTACTATTTAACTTACCAATTGTCTTGAAATCTTTCAACAGAGTTAAAATATCACTTTCGCGAGTTTCAACCTAAAATGTGTGTACACTTTACAAGTTATTGCATCAGAAATTATGTTCGTACAAAAAATCACACATGTGAAACATAATTGTCTTACATCCTTAAAATAGTAAATACCCTATTTTTATTCAAAGAGAACACACAATAATATTCAAAGTAATTGGTCTGAAAAAGTATTTTATATTTCACATTATTTTAAGAAAAATAAAATAATCATCATTAGTTAAATATAGAAAATAATATAAAAATCTTAACTGATAAAAACATACCTTTGTAGTTAAAGCTACTAACATATCTGTAGTGTTGGCCAGCTTTTTCTTCCCATCATCTTGTAGAGTTGAGTGGGTTTTCATTTCTTGTCCTGTTTTTAACATATGTTTTGAATAACATTAAATAAAATGATACACCCATATTACTGCTATACTAAGTGTCCACATTATGTTGTGTTTCATATTGTATACTAGTCTCGTTGAAATTAATCGTTAGTTGAAACACGGCAGGATGGGGGGGGGGGGGGGGCGGTTCGAGTATCATTCAATCGCCTAACTATAATTAGTGTTTTTTTTTATTAGCCGCAACACGACCTAAACGTACGATTTCATAATATGTTCAAACATACTGTTTGAGTGATGACTGGTTTTATGTGCCGATTTTTCTATTTGTTTATGTGTAAGTGTTTGCTTGTATGTTTCTGCGAGTATTGTAATAAATGTGTTATATAATTTCGCTGTGCTCCAGGAACTGTTCCTGTTTGAAGTTTTATTCTCCTGCCCAGCCCACTTCCTGTGTTCTATCTAGACATTAGCCCTCCTTAAACTCTTATATTGTTAGGCCGTTTTAAAACAATATGTCGTATACTACTGATCCTCTAAATGTGCACATGTCCTTGTACTTTATGCTTTAGATTTTATTGATACATTTCTTACGTATCCATTTATTAAAAACATTCAGCATTCAAAAAACGTAACGGTTGTTGTTCTCTTAAAAAAGGCAATTGACCACTAAAAATATAACACGTGAAAAAAACTTACATCAGTAAACATCATAGGTCATTTTAAAATTGTGTTTTAATGCTTAAAACCAACATGGGTTACTAGTATCTATTTAAAACAAGCATGGTTTTATACCACACAACATTACATAAACATGCTAATACTTAAAACATAGATTGTTCAGGTTAATACTCCTGTCACACGTGAGTTTGTAGACTCTCAAAGTGACCAATTGCATTAGGTAATAAACTTGTTACCTTTTGTTTGTACTTCTGCCTACTTGCCAAGTTTTTATTAAAAGTTTGAATTAAACTTTCAACGGGCATCAATCTTTGTTGTAACATCTTGAACGTGACGCCATGCTAGGGAGTAGAATGATACAATCAAGTTGTCTTTAATTATTTCACAAATGAAATCGAAACAAAATGCATGTTAGAAGTTTAAAGTTCATAGGCATTAACTAATAAGTTAAAGTGCATGGGCATTAACTAATAGAATACAAGCCACAAAATCCATTCAATCAAATATTCTATTTGTTCAAAACGTAAAATAGGTACAAACCATGGACATTAACTTTCTACTTTGGTTTCCATATTTTTGTATTTATTTCCTTCTTCCCTCAAGTGAGAAATAACATCGGAATGACTTTTTATTTGTTTTTGCAATTTCTCTGTTTTAGTTGTTTGTATTTCTAATTCTTCATTTATTTTGTTTAATATAATGTCAAACTTGTTCATCTCTGTATTCGTTCTTTCTAGTGCTTGGCTTGTATTTGATTCTTTTTCTTTGAGGGTCTTAATTTCTGTATTCAACTCATTTATTCTGGTTTTGGATACTTGTATTTGCTCTCTAGTCTTTTCTTTATTATCTGTTAGTGTCTTAGACAGTTCTTCAAATTTTTTCGCCATAGTTTTATGTTCTGGTATAAGTGTTTTCCTCCATTGTTTTATTTCATCCAATTGTTTCAGTTCTTCATTCATCTTATCCGTTATATGTTTCTGTTCGTTAATTTGCTTTCGGAATTGCTTAGCATTCTGTTTTTGTTTTATAGCCAATTGTTCTATGTGTTCTTTCATATTACTTTCTTCTGTTTTATAAGTGTCCCTCCATTGCTTAATTTCGGTCACGTCAGCTTCAGTTTTTGTATTCCTACTTTGCATAGAAGTTAGCGCTGTTTCAAGCCGTTCTGCTCTCTGCTCTAGTTTGTTACTAAAATCAGCTGCAACTTGTAAAATGTGTTTATGTTAGCATATTCTTGGGGAAGGCTGTAGAATCAAAATATTTCAAACAACAGAAATAAGTAAAGTATTTACATTACATTGATATATATATATATATATATATATATATATATATATATATATATATATATATATATATATATATATATATATATATATATATATTAAGCAATTTTACTTAGCACAATTACTTTTTACAACCATTTCATTTATTTTTTTTGCTTTGATAAATTAAGGTTCTACCTGACATAGAAAAATCAGAATAATTTCCATCGTGTACAGAGTCAACACTTTTATTCTCTTGTGTTGCCTTATCTCCAGCAGCCATTGCTTGATACTTGTTGCAGGAAACTTTTAGACATGTGTAACAAATATGGTTTAAGGATTTGATTTTCAATAGTAAGAATGTAGAATGATTTGTATAGCATTGTATATTTGTTCAAAGGCACACAATCGAAAATATAAAAATCATCGGCTTTTAATTGATGTTATCTTTCCAATAAGAGTGTTTTGAATTTTAGAAAATGTACAATTGTTTTTTACATATAAAGATGTATGTTAGTTTACATAGGTTGCAATGATTTTAAATGGAAGATGTATAATTATTAATGTTTAGTGACGTATCTTTTTATTTAGCATATTTGTTGAATGTCTTTATAATTTTACCAGAAATCGTTTGTTTAAGTTCAAGTAGGGCAGTATTTACTGTTGTTACCATAGAAACAACTTCTTTAAAATCTATTTTCGCTTCTGAAGGATTGCCCAACCATTCCAGTGTTGCTTGTTTTACCTGGCCATGCGATATCATAGACGAGGATTGAAATATTTAAACATTGAGGTGCTAGATATGACAAAAAATAAGACGAGGATTGAAATATTTAAACATTGAGGTGCTAGACATGACATAACATAGACGAGGATTGAAATATTTAAAGATTAATGAGCTTTTTTAATTTAAAAGCAAAGAAATCTCAATTCAAAATATTCATAATTTTTGTATTTGGCGTTTAAAGTAATTCCACTACCTTGTATAAATCTATTTACAGAAGCAGTGTTTCTTCCAGACTTTTTTCTCCGGGGGGGGGGGGCACTATATATTTTAGGGGGAAGGGGCGGTCGACATTTTACGGGGGGGGGGGGGGTACACTTGTAAAAGTATACGTTTTCTATATAAATTCAATCTCGTTCGGGGGGAGGGGGGGTAGTAGTCTTTCCTCTGGGTTGGTTGGGGAGAGGGGGCAGTGCCCCTTTCCCACCCCCACCCCCCCGAAAAGATGCCTGGAAGAAACTCTGTACAGAAGGAATGTGGATTGAAAATGAGATTTTATATCACCCATTAGCAAATTATTTGCATTACTTAATAGCTCTTAGTAACAGGCTTTGGCGTTTGCATTTCTTAAGCAGCTTAATAATGTTCTAGATAAGTTAAAGTCTTGTGAATACATCGTACTATTAGATGTGCTTACTTGTTGATCAAAGTCACTTACATTATTTTTCAGCAAACTATTCATCTCTTCCAGACTGTTCAACAGTTGAGCTAAATGGTTCTTTATATGAATCGATACGGCCATCTAAACGAAAATATAAACTAATTTATTTTAATTGTGTCATTTGAATATACTCTTTATAAATAGATATACTATTATTAAACAATATTGATGACCCTACAAGTCCATTTAAATGCACATAGACAATGACATAGAAATAACATAACACATTTCATCAAACTTGTGAACATGATTTATCCTTTTGTTTGTCACTAGGTTGGTGTTCAAACTACGGATCTAATTTTAATGTTGGTGAGCAGGTTGGTGCATAAATACAAAATTATATAATTAAAAGTTTCTTACCTCATAGAATATTTGATAGAGTATCTCAATGTAAACTGTGACGTTGAAAATGATGTAATTAAAGTTATGTTTTTAGTTTTAGAATATCTGATCAAATGTCTCAATGTAAACTGTAATAGGCAAAATGATATAATTAAAAATAAGTTTTTTCTTATCTCAATGAATTTATGATAGGATATCTCAAGATAATAAATCATACTAAACTTAGACAGGCAAGGTCATATTTAAATTATTAACATAATTCCTCTGTTTTGTATGTTCTGTGAAGAAAGTGTCTACTTTTGAAATAAACGACTCTAGCTAGCATCCACCTTAACAATCCCTAATGTGGGGTTCACAATAAAACATCAACTGTTGGGGTTCACAATAAAACATCAACTGTTGGGGTTCACAATAAAACATCAACTGTTGGGGTTCACAATAAAACATCAACTGTTGGGGTTCACAATAAAACATCAACTGTTGGGGTTCACAATAAAACATCAACTGTTGGGGTTCACAATAAAACATCAACTGTTGGGGTTCACAATAAAACATCAACTGTTGGGGTTCACAATAAAACATCAACTATTGGGGTTCACAATAAAACATCAACTGTTGGGTTTCACAATAAAATATCAACTGTTGGGGTTCACAATAAAACATCAACTGTTGGGGTTCACAATAGATTATAGAACATCGACTTGGAGACTAAATTTTGATTTGTGCCGTCTTAAAATATGACAAGACCAACAAGATTAATGTTTTTAGCTGGAAGTCAGAAAATTGATTGTGTTCATGGCACTCTTAGAGAGAAAAATGAGACAGATAGTTGATACAGTTTAAACAAATAAAACAAAAATTAAAATTCGTTAACAACAAGCTTTTAAATATATTGTAAATAAGAAAATAATGTATTCAATAACGGTAAAAGCAATAGGCATGGAAGCTTTTTTTTCACATTGGCGGCTTTAAAAATTAAAAATATAAAATTAATTTGCTTTCTCTAATAAAAGCTGTTTTCGCTAACTAAATGATATTAAAAAAATATCATTTTTATGACTATGTCATTCTTTATTATTCCTTATTTTAATAACAATTAAGTAAAGAAATTGCTTTTTAATTTGTTTAGTTCAAACTAGACAAATTAACTTTTGGACATCCCGCTAATACTATTTAAGGCGGAGTGATAAAATATGTAAATGATTAGAACGTTTGCCAAACTTTCACACAAAAACTAATCTAGATTTTTCTCTATGCGACAGTGTGTGCTACATACTGAAGAACAACCACTGCTGTAGAAGTTATGTTTAAAAAGTTACAAAAAATATATGTGTTGCTTTTGGTCGGAATATGCCCCCACCCGTATTGCGGTATGATAGTTCGCCTCCTCTATATTGTGAGTTACCTTAATGAGTTCTAGCGAGATAAATTTGAACAGCGACAGTTCTGTCCCTTGGAACGTGACGTTAACTCTTTAGATAATACCGGGATTTCCCTTTCAGTTATTTAGGTTTCAATAGCAGCGTAGCAGTTTGTAGAACGATTTAAGATCTAGATCTAGCTGTAAAATTTACTGCAGTTATCTTTGAAGTAAGTGTAAACATATAATTTACATACCATTAAAAATAAGCATATAACACTGATAACAATAAACATAAAAAGTATGTAGAAAAGTGTATGTTTTATTTATTAAATTAATAAATATATATATATTTATGTAGCGTAATATTTTTTAAAAATAATTTTAAAATGTACGTTAATTTCTATTTCGTTTAAGATAGTATAAAAGCATTAAAATGGCGCCCACTACAGATATTTAGATAATAAAATAATGTGTTTAATTTTTGTGTGTTACCTAAATTAAATGTCTTAGTTGAAGACAAGACAGCTGCTCTAGTACGTGTCTTGTGTTGTCGCCATCTTTATAACCTGGTAGAAGATATATTTATAATAGCGGATTTTCCCGTTAAGAACTTTCAGTTTCGCCGTTTTACTTTTAATGAGGTACCATATAAATACAAAAGCATTATTTTTATAGTTTAACAGCTGTAATAGATAATTATTTAATGAAAAAAATAAAAAGCGTTTCGTAGAGAAGGTAACAGCTGTAATGACTGCGTTAAAAATATAATTCATGTAAGAAAGTTTTGTAGAACTATCGATGTGCTTGTTGTCATTTTATTTATCGCATGGTTTGTATTTTCAATTCAGTTTAAGTCAATTAGACAACATTTGACAAGTTTCGATACGTAGTTAAAGTGTTATGTATTTTATCTTTTCAAACACAGGCAGTAACCAAACTGAGGTAGTTGTTTACATTGTTAACACGTCTAAAATATCCTCACTTCAAGTATCTACTTGGACACCAATCCTATCTGCTTATAAATATTGGCGAAAAAAATTCTGGGCAACGCCCTTCCCTCAAATAAAGTATCCATAAAGAAAAATGATCCGATAAAATCTTAAAAATAACCAAACAAATTAATTTACATTTTTACTATGTAGATGTGTATTTAAATCATTATATCTATATATAATTCTCTTCATGGGGACAATAGACAACACCACAAAGCTTAGCCACCACCTTCATCTCCACCTTTCTGGTAAGCTCTAGTACACTCCGAATGTTTACAATCGTAGAGCCGGGTTAGTGATGGCTATTAGGGGCAGATAATTTAGCATTAAACGATTTAAAACTAAGGGGCTGCTTTCTCTGGGCGGGGTGGGTTTAGGTGGGAGGCAGGGGGTGGTGTACTGTCGATAGCGGCGTATGCTACGTCGCTGGTCAGCTCGTTTAGTTATAAACTGCAAAGAAAATCATTTCTACCTAAATCGTGCAACTCTGGAGTCACACCTTGATATTTTTTTGCTGTGTTGCAGCCGTCATACGGTAGGTGGAGGGGGGAGAAGGGTGTACATAAATATTTGCACAGGTGCTAGCAAACGTGTCTGCAGATCTACATATATTTGCACTTGTCTCTCTGCATTAACGACCGTTACACGATTATACATCATGCTACTCTTATTTTACCTGTGTAATTATGTTCAATGAAACATGAATTATTACAAGTCCGTCCAAAACAAAAGAGACTAAGGATTGGCATTAAACCAAAAGTCTCTTTCCTCTGTTATCTATCACATTGACTTATGAGACTAGCAAAACAATGTAATAAGTGAAGATTCTATTTTTAAACCAGATGCCTACACGAATTCAGGTCAAGGTTGTTACTAAACAGATAAAATATTTGGAAGAAAAGATACAAGTTCTGGAACCCACCATTGAACTTATGAAAAATGTAAGATAAAAACATTTTAAATCAACTGGTAATTTTATAACGCTCTTCTGTTATAACACTATTTTTTTTTAAATTTCTCTGAACACGTTTTCCAGAAGTAAAATAAAACTAATATATATATATATATATATATATATATATATATATATATATATATATATATATATATATATATATATCTAAAGAGAAATTAAAACTTATTATACTTATTAATATTTGAAAACCAACAAAGTAACATTTAGACCACGGGTTCCCAACCTGGGGGTCGCGAAGGTCTTTCTGGGGGGTCGCCAACTGGTATACTAAACCTTAGTAATTTGAAACAAAACGTACATATTTAGAAGAATGTTTTAAATTCACTGGAAATGTAATAGAGAAGAAACAAAGCGCACTGTACAAAGTTGTAAATTTGAGAAACTCTGCAGTGTGGTAGATGAATCTGATTGTGAGATAATTAAAATTTTGAAAGAAGCGATTTTTCTGGGCATCTTGAACCTCTTGAAAACGAACTGCATCGCTATTTCTTTGAGCTGAAAAAAGAAGAATCTGCATTTACGCATTACCCATTCTCTTCTTCTCTTGATGTTGCCAGCATTCCCGATGAACTACAAGATGAATTCTGTGATTTGCAGAATGATTCCGAGTAAGATGAAAAATTGCAGACACAATTTTGGTGTAGTATTCACCATTCATACCCAAACTTTTAATTGATTGACTTTTGGAGAATATATTTTCAACACTATTCTTCAATTAAAAACAAAAATTAAGATTATTATAATGACATAGGTTGGCGTTAACAATTTTTTTTTAAAAAATAAAAACTTAACCACGTAGGTTTAGTGAATAGTATGCAATTTTACTCATGCTATTGAAATAGTTATCAAGAGTAGTTAATATTGAAAGTCTACTCGAAAATCTTACTTTAGTGCTAATTAATTTCCATACTAATTTCGGCTTTTTAATTCTACGGGGGTCGCGGGTCACTTACTTTTTATAAAAAGGGGTCGCCACTCGGAAAAGGTTGGGAACCACTGATTTAGACGGTAGAAAGTGTTTAACGTTTGACGTTTTCTCATAAAACAGCCATACACAACCTGGCCAGTTGAAATAATGTTTATGTTTGTGATCACCAGGTTGTTACAAAAAGTAAGGCGTGGCTAGAAGAAAAAACTGACCAATCATCTGTCAGCTACATCGAGCTATCACAAGAACTGGACACAGCAGCCACGGCCTTGTTGGATGTGACGTCACATATTTCTGGTCAGTTTTTTAATTCACTTTATAATTTAAAATATCTAAGCCTGCTGTCATGTAGCCTAAAAGTTTTGTTTGAGAAAAATGCAAAGAATCTTACAATTTACCTTATAGAAATGAGACATACTATTGTTAAGGGATTTATTTTCACTCTGGATCCACTGTTACACTAAGTTTTATTTTCTTAGAGATTGACATATAGGAACAAACTAACACATAATTAACATTTATAATTTTTTATTTACTCATAAAGAGAGTTAGATAGCAATAACTTAATAGAATGTTATATGATTTTTCTTTAAACGCTTTGCTTACAAATCAATGTTACACTTTCAATTTATAAATGGGATATTCACTTCTTAGTTCAATTGAAAATAAATTATTTTGTAAATCAATTTAAAATAAATTAGTATGTAAATATGTAGACCTGGAAAATTTAACAGAAGGAAGAGATTAGATGTTTAAGCGAATTATAATTTAAATAAAATTTGGTTTCCTAAATTTGAAAAAAAAATATTGTAAAAATTAAAACACTTTGCAGCTTACTAGAAATATTGTATGTACAATTAAACATTATCCCTTAAACTGTAACTAAAATAAAATTCTAAACTCCAATCCACCAGACGAGGACAACAAGGACGTCAACAAACCAACGCCATCTTTACCACCGAATAACACACAGACAACAGCAACATTTCTGACAGTAGAATCAACAAGACAACTCAAGACACAAGACAAACATACAGCGGGTATGTCTTAGTTTTGTTTGGTATAACAAGTTAAACAGCAGCATACTATATTGTACGAAATGTTAAAACTTGAACATTTTGTTTTATTTTAATTTTTTAAATATTTTATATTAACGTTTCTACGTTTAACGCTGTTTTGAGAACCTATTTATCAAGGTTCCAGACATTTTAAATTACAAACTTATATTTGCGACTTTTCTCAGTTGAAGAACATCCTGACCTCGAGCGTAGACTCGCCTATATTGAAACAACACTATCTTCACTACAAGACACACAACACAAGTCTACAGATGACATATCAGAAATAAAACAATGGAGAGACAACTTTGTAACAGAACAGAGTGACATGGGGGTAAACATTGAACAACTGACTAAAAAACAAAAGCAGAATTTTAAAAGCCTCAGAAAACAAATGAGTGAACAAGATAACAAAATAAAGGAGCTGAACAAAGAAATTGAAAGTTTAAAGAAAAAGAATCCAAGTCAAACCAAACACTAGAGAGAATGTCTCTAGATATAAAAGAATATAAAAACAATGTACACAAAATAAATAAAGATATGCAAGATTACACAGACAAAATAGATAGTATAACACAAGAAATTAAAAGACATTCGGATTTGATGGCTGCCCTACAAGAGGAGTGTGATAAAATCTTGTGTAATACATCAACTCAATTAGAAAAGGTAAACTTGCTAATTATGTGTATTCACAAGTTTACAGATACTCAACAGAAAGCTTATTATAACAAGGTTAAACAAAAAACAACAGTAACCTTATCACCAGTTATACTTTAATATAATTATTAATGTTAAGACACATGTTTATGTTAGATATAATATGCATTAAAAATAATTCGAATTATAATTCTATTATTTAATCTTCTGATATTTTGCAAAATGTATTGTACAAGCTCCTACAAAAAAGATTGATGCCCATTGACAAACTGATTCAAATCTTTAACAAGAACTTGGAAACTAGGGAAGAAAGAATAACGAAGGTATTTGTGTAGTAATTTAAAAAAAAAAATTTAATTGCGACATTGATAAATCCAGCATACATTATTAACACTCTGTCGATAGAGCTATTAATACACGTTTTCTTAAATTAAATGATACATCTATAACTTTAAAAATATCACACCCTCTAAATTATTTTATATTCTTACAAGTTACCATTTAACATCAGTGAAGCTGTTGTATGTTGTACGTAACTGTGTGATTTTTTAAACTAATTTTCTTAAATCTCTTTTTAGCTTGAAACTATTGAAGATACTATTGCACTGTTGAACAAAGATTTCAATCTATTAGGTAGGTTTTATCTGAATTTTTTTTTCAAACCAAATCGCACACAGACCATAACGTGATGTTCGTTAGCCAGACAGACCGTAATGTGATGTTCGTTAGCCAAAAAGACCATAATGTGATGTTCGTTAGCCAGACAGACCATAACGTGATGTTCGCTAGCCAGACAGACCATAACGTGATGTTCGTTAGCCAGACAGACCATAATGTGATGTTCGTTAGCCAGACAGCTCATAACGTGATGTTCGTTAGCCAGACAGACCATAAAGTGATGTTCGTTAGACAGACAGACCATAACGTGATGTTCGTTAGCCAGACGGACCATAACGTGATGTTCGTTAGCCAGACAGACCATAACGTGATGTTCGTTAGCCAGACAGACCATAACGTGGTGTTTGTTAGCTAGACAGACCATAACGTGATGTTCGCTAGCCAGACAGACCATAACGTGATGTTCGTTAGCCAGACAGACCATAACGTGGTGTTTGTTAGCCAGACAGACCATAACGTGATAAAGAATGGAACATTTCACTCACCCATAGTGCCATTCTCTAGGCCCGTGCGTTTCCGTCAGGTGTTTGTTTCCTCACCTGGTACATTACACCACCTGGTACATTACACCACGTGGTACATTACACCACCTGGTACATTACACCACCTGGTACATTACACCACCTGGTACATTACACCACCTGGTACATTACACCACCTGGTACATTACACCACCTGGTACATTACACCACCTGGTACATTACACCACCTGGTACATTACACCACCTGGTACATTACACCACCTGGTACATTACACCACCTGGTACATTACACCACCTGGTACACTACACCACCTGGTACATTACACCACCTGGTACACTACACCACCTGGTACATTACACCACCTGGTACATTATACCACCTGGTACATTACACCACCTGGTACATTACACCACCTGGTACATTACACCACCTGGTACATTACACCACCTGGTACATTACACCACCTGGTACATTACACCACCTGGTACATTACACCACCTGGTACATTACACCACCTGGTACATTACACCACCTGGTACATTACACCACCTGGTATGTCCGGGGTCGACCTATAGCGGTCTACCCTAGTACAGTAAAACATTTACAGAGCTGCAGTATAAATTTAACTAATTTATTTATTTAATAGTTGCAATTATCGTCACAACATCCCTTCATTTTTTTTATATTAAAACCGCGTCGCATTAAATCCATGAATTAAATCAAAAACAAAATTATAACTATTAAACAACAAAAAAAAAATTACATTTTTACATCTCAGTATTTAATTAATTTAAATTGTCGAGAAATAAACAATAGTAAAGTTTGATAATGCGTATCTTGTCATTGGTTTTATCTAAGTCTGTTCTATACAACAGAATAACTATAGTTCAGGTGTTTTTTTTTTGTATTCATAAATCAGCCCTCTATAATTAAGCTACAACGTGAACACATACGGAACATAATTAACTTGTTTTACTTTTAGCAACATTTTACGTGACCTGCTATACTTGTTTAAAATTAATACTTTCAAAACAGTTAGATGATAAACTGAGAACACTAAAACTTAGGGCGGTACTAAACTAACAGTTAAAATTAATAGTCTTAGAGAAAAATATGTAAACAATGTTAAAGGTAAATATAAATGTAGCCAACATTGTATGAATTAATTAGTCAGAGCATGTTTGAAATTAAACATGTGAATCATACATGTTTTCTAATCAACAAAGTCACGTGTAAGTAACAGATATGCTTGTTATGTACAGCTTGCTAGACCCACACCTGTCAGTTATAGATCAATTATTTCAACATTTGGTGAAGTACGTGAATATAACGGTCAACACTTTAATCAAAGAACAGGAAAATTTGTATCACCACATGATGGTTTATATCTTGTCTGTGTCACTCTACATAAATGGGGAGATAAACATATTGGAGTTTCTGTGGTGGCTGGAGGCATGTGCTGTACGACTATAGAAGTGAAATGTGCCAACACTAACGCTGCTGGGTCAGTGGTTGTTGAATTGAAGAAAGGTCAAGAACTTTACCTTGAAGTGTATCACGCAGAGCAAGGCGCAGCTTTATCCCTCTATATTAGTTTTACTATCGTTAGTTTATAGAAGTACAACACAAAACATGGTGGATGGTAAATTCTCAAAACAATAAAATATGTAACCAACATAGTAAACACACGCCAACAACTTATTATGAATGTAGACTACATGTTTACATAAACTATAAATGTTTATATGTTATTTGTTTAGTCATCTTTACACAGTCCCATCTAATTCAATGCCATCATCATCTTCTCTGTATGTGAGCTCTAGGTGTATGATTAAAATCTTTTGTTCAAATTGCATTCCTACATTTTACGTTATAAATGAACGTTTTGTTCTTGTTGAATATTGTCACAGCCTTTTCTCCTACCTTTTTCATGGCACACACTAAAAACAAAAATCAACCCTTGTTCCTGTAATTTCCATAATTTTATTGGTTCATATGGACAACACCTTCACTGCCCTCTATCTACCTCTCCCCTTCCTTTCCTTAGCGCATGCGCACACCCACCTTACATTTTAGATCCATATCGCCTTTTTAAGATACACACTCGAAACATACATTCCTCTACATTCAACGGTTACAAATATGTAATTAAAATCTAGAACTTTGACACAATAAAATTAACTATTTATAAAACGAAGGCTTGAATACGTTTACTAGAGAAAATAAATATTTATCGTAAGTATTAAAAAAGCCAATCCAAATTATGCATTTGTCAAGAAAACACACATTCGTTCAATGAAAAAAAAAAGACTACAATGTTTCTACATTACAAACCAATATATTTTATTAAGTGTCGTTGTATCAGAAAATTAACACACAACCCATATAACTATATATATATATATATATATATATATATATATATATATATATATATATATATATATATCTATATCTATATATATATATATATATATATATATATATATATATATATGTATATATATATATATATATATATATTTTTAAATTGTGTTATATGTATAGTTTTGTTAGCTTGTATTCCAACGCCCATCTGCTGACATTATATTCAACGTGTAAAAGGGCAGGGTTAGCTCGACAGATTTATCTTGAATATTTTTATGTCAATACACATATAACAGGTTATGTACATGTAGTCCGTGATGCAATGAGATGGAATACACCATCAAGTGGCAGTATAAATAGCGATGTTTTTAAACAGACAATGACACAAACATAGCCGACATTTATTTTTTTTAATTTCCGACAAAATTAACATAGAAGAAACATACTTTTGTTGAAAAGGGAACTGCATTTAATATTTAGCTACTTAATAAAATTTTCACTTTTAGCCTCAAGTAAAGTGTTATGACGTGTGTTTGATCAGGTGTGTAAATGTGAACGAATATTGGTGCGAAAGATATAATTGATGCATGAATATGTACCCAGTACACAAGATGGTGACGTTTCAGTGTAGGATCGAGAAGTTTAGTTAGTCTTAATCTTGTTGTGTTGGGATGAGGTCGTAGTTTAGTCAAGTCTCATTATCGTTCGTTCAAGTCGTCCTATGTATTTTTATAGTGTAAAAACTATTGAGTTAACTGCTGTCATCCTGTCGAATCATATATCTACGTTAATGTCGACCTGTTCTATGTTGAAACTCTAGGAAGAACTTCTGAATAGTTAGAGAGGAACATAATGGTATTGAGAACCCTCTCACTGCATAACTGCCGGTAACATAGACCCCAGTTATAACATAAAGTTATAGCATCGAGTGTGAGAGCACAAATTAAAGTAACTCACCCGGTGCGGCACTTAATGGTGTCACCCCGCCCCCCACAGAGGCGTAGCGACCCTTCCCGGTGACTAACTTTCAAGTTTTCGATTTGCAACCCCCCCCCCCCCCCCCTCAAGTTTTTTATTTGCACCCCCCCCCCTCAAACTTTCGATTTGCACCCCCCTCGAGTTTTTCTTTATATATTTTGCTATTTTTTGCCTTGGTGTCACCTCCCTAAATGGTGTCACCCGGTGCGGTCCGCACCCCCCGCACCCCCCCCCCTCGCTACGCCCCTGACTCACACCAAGGCTGAAGTCGACCGTTACCCTTTCAGTCTTTAACATTTAAACGGTGTGGTCGTGTGGTATGTCATGTGATAACCGGAAAGTGTCGGGTTCGAATTTCGGGATAGAGTAGACTACGTCATCTCTAATCAAGACAGATCGGGTGGGTACTTTAAACACTTCACAAGGTCAAAATTAACATACTCTCATACATGTTCATTTTATATAAAATCATCTGAAAAATTATACAGGAATGGATGTAGGGACCTGATTGTTGAACTTTTACATAGGCGTCTACTGAGATTTTAATAGGGCTAGGTTTATATTTCACTCATCTTATTTTTTCTTAGTATTAGTACGTCTTAAAATAACATTTTGCAACGTATGTATGCGTTTATCACTACACATATTAATATATTACTTTCGTACTAACCCATATCCTAAAGCGTTCTATAGCATGTAAAATAACTACTGAAACTAATTAAAAACGATTCTTTTTAAAAAAAAACAACATTGTTCAATTGCATTAATTGGACAATTTTTACTTTCTCTTATACTTATATAAACAATCAAGTTGTTTGATTACAGTTTTGACCATTATATTCATGTATATCTTTACATATTGACATGATTAAACCATGACAGAAAGGGGTGCTGCAAGCTATATGCGACATGAACGTACTGAATTGACAAGTCATAATATTTTACTATGTATATGTTCATTTCACGATGGCATGTGAAGCATAGCAACTTTATATTATCTTAACATTAATTTATGTTATAATACTAAAACACAAACTCTTTGTATGTTTAATTGTATGTATTTAAAATGCAACCGAAAAAAAAACCCAAACCATTTGTTTTCCAAAAATGAAGTGTAGATTATAATTCAGTGTGTTAAAATATTTCTCTAAAATATGTCTGCCAGAAAAAGTGAAACCTACCTATTGAAACGATATGCACATGCATACAACATAGGAACATTGGATAATTTTAAAAATAGAAAATGATGTGGTGTGAAATAAATAATAAACTACTTATTTCATAACCATGATTAAATTTACAATCTAATAATAGTAAAGCCACTTCCGACTTGTAGCTTGGCTCCATCGTCAGCTTTGTCTACTTTAAAGTAAAGTTCTTGGCCTTTCTTCATGTAAATAACAGTTGATCCAGCGGCAGATGTGTTGGCAGAGTTAACAACAAAGCTCTTATACAATTTAGCATCACTGTACACATCAATTTCAATCAGTTTATCCTCACATTCCTGCAGCGTCACAATCACAAGATAAAAACCATCATCTGGTGCTACAAGTTTTCCTGTGGTTCTATTAAAATGGCTGCCGTTAGGTTCCCACGCGCCATGGAATGTTGAAAGAATTGATCCAGTAGTTACGGGTGTGTAGTTGTTCAGGTGAATTTGACAGATGTAAGGCTTAAATACACGGGTCTCTGTTCGGGAAGTATAAGATAGCGTTTATAAATAAAGATTAGCTTAAATGTGTATGTGTGTCTGTATAGCTGTTTACAATTGTGTGTATGTTTATTATTTAACTTACCAATTGTCTTGAAAACTTTCAACAGCTTTAAAACATCACTTTCACGAGTTGAAACCTAAAATGTGTGTACAATTTACAGGTTATTGCATCAAAAATTATTTTCGTACAAAAAGTCACTCATGTGAAACATGAATGTCTTATATTCTTAAAATAGTTAACATTTTATTTTTTATTTAAATATCACGCAAAAAAAATTCAATTAATTTGTCCAAATACTAGTTTACATTATTTTAACAAGGTTAACAAACAAGGTTAAAATAATCATCAGTTTTAAATATAGAAATGAATGTATCAATTGTAACTGACGACAGGATACCTTCGTAGTTAAAGTCCCCATCAATTTTGTAGTGTTGGCCAGAATTTTCTTCCTATCATCTTGTAGAATTAAAATCAGAGCAGAGTGGCTTTTGATGTCTTGTCCTGTTTTAACATCCGTTATCAATCACATTAAATAAAATGATACTTTCATGTTTATTGCTGCTAAACTATGTGTCCTAATTTTTTTGTGTTTAATTGTATAAAGTCAGTTTCAGCTATCTTTAGTTAAAACATGAAGGGGTGGGGGAGTGGTGGCATATATGCTGAAGAATAAAAAGGTGAGTATAATTCAATGGCCTGACGATTATTTACTTTTTTTTGTTGTTTTTCTTATATTAGCAGCAACACTTAAAAGATTTCATAATATGTTGAAAAATGTGTTTTAATGTGTGTTTGTTTTGTCTGTATTTGACTTGCGAGCAACAATGACTGTTTTTGTGTTCAGCTTTTTCTATTTGTGTAAGAGTGTGTTTGAGTGTGTGTTTCCGTGTGTGTTTCTGTCTGTATGTTTATGTGCTCCATGAAAATATGTTCCTGTTTGAAGTATTTTTCTCGTGTTCTATTTTGACAATAGCCCTCATTAAACCCTTATATTATGAGTCCATTTGTTAGTCAATTTGTCCTATACAACTTTTTCGTTAAATGAGCAATTTACCTAGTACGGATTGCAATAATCATTATTAATATATTCCTTAATTATCCATTTATTTAAAAATATTCAGCATTAATAAACTGGCTGGTTGTTGTCCTCTAAAATAACTTTGATCACTACAAAATATAACACGCGAAAACACGAGTAAACTGGCCGTGATCAACGTAATAGGTATTTTTAAAATTGTTAATTACTGCTAAAATGGAATGTGAATTTCTAGTATCTATTTAAAACGATCATGGTCAGAAAAAATTAGATTAACATGCCTATACGTAAAGTATATTAAATGCATGATATTAATACTTAATGTACAGGAAGTAATGATAAAATACTTACTAATTGAATCTACACCACTTGACAATTTCAAAACATCATTTTCCAACGTTGCAAGCTAGAAACAAAAGATGGCATCAGGTCATTATAAAAATTCTATCATTATTTTTTAAAATTGACTTTCTAGGAGTTTACAAACAAAAACAACATTTAAACTTAAGAAATGTAATTATTTTATTTTTTAATGTGGTAATTGGGTATACCAAAGAATGAAAATAACTTTGTTAATATATTTAAATCGGTCTCAAACAATACTTGTGTCAGGAAAGCATGTTGGTATATAAACGGGTTTTGTAGACTCTCTAAACGACCAATCCCATTATGTTCTAATTATGTTACCTTTTGTTGGTTCATCTGTCTATTCGCCAAGTTGTGATTAAACATTTGAATTAAATTTTCGACGGGCATCAATCTTTGTTGTAAGATCTTGAAAGTGACGCTATGCTAGAAGTAGAAAAATATAATCATGTTGTCTTAACATTTTCGGCAAATGTAATGGAGACAAATTGCATGTGAGCAGGTTTGTAGTTATTAAAGTGTGTAGCTATGAACTAATACAACACAAACTAAGAAATCCATTTTAAGAGAGTAAAACAAGTGTTCAAAAAAATAAAGTAGGTACAAACCATTGAAATTAACTTTTTTACTTTGGTTTCCATATTTTTGTTTTTATTTTCTTCTTCCCTCAAGTAGGAAATAACATCAGAATGACTTTTTACTTGTTTTTGTAATTTCTCTGTTTTAGTTGTTTGAATTTCTAATTCTTCATTTATTTTGTTTAATATAATGTCAAACTTGTTCATCTCTGTATGCGTGCTTTCTACAGCTTGTCTTGCGTTTGATTCATTTTCTTTGAGTGTCTCAATTTCTGTATTCAACTCATTTATTTTGGTTTTGGCTTCTTGTATTTTCTCTCTAATCTTTTCATTATTATCTGTTTGTTTTTGAGACAATTCATTAAGTTTTTTCGCCATTTTATTATTTTCTAAAAGAAGTGTGTCTCTTAAATGTTTTATTTCACTCAAGTGTTTCATTTCTTCATTCATCTCATCAGTTATATGTTTCTGTTCGTTAATTTGCTTTCCGAATTGCTTAGAATTATGTTTTTGTTTTAAAGCTAATTGTTCTATTTGTTCCTTTATATTGCTTTCTTCTGTTGTATAAGTGTCCTTCCATTTCTTAATTTTGGTCAGGTCATCTTCAGTTTTTTTATTCCTACTTTGCATAGAAGTTAGCGTTATTTCAAGATGTTCTACTCTCTGCTCTAGTTTGTTACTTAAATCAGCTGCAACTTGTAAAATGTGTTTATGTTAGCATATTCTTGGAGAAGGCTATAGAATCAAAATATTTCAAACTAAAGAAAAAAGTAATTACATTACAGCAACGGTGTATTGATATATATATATATATATATATATATATATATATATATATATATATATATATATATATATATATATATATATATATAATACAAATATTTTATTTAGCACAATTACTTTTTACAATCATTCCATTTATTTTTATTTTCGCTTTAATAAATTAAGATTCTACCTGACATAGAAAGATCCGAATAATTGACATCGTGTACAGAGTCAACACTTTTATTCTCTTGTGTTAAGTAAATTTAAAGTTTTACCTGACATAGGAAGATCCGAATAATTGACATCGTGTACAGAGTCAACACTTTTATTCTCTTGTGTTAAGTAAATTTAAAGTTCTACCCGACATAGAAAGATCCGAATAGTTGACATCGTGTACAGAGTCAACACTTTTATTCTCTTGTGTTAAGTGAATTTAAAGTTCTACCTGACATAGGAAGATTCGAATAATTGACATCGTGTAAGGAAGTCAACACTTTTATTCTCTTGTGTTAAGTAAATTTAAAGTTGTACCTGACATAGGAAGATCCGAATAATTGACATCGTGTACAGAGTCAACACTTTTATTCTCTTGTGTTAAGTAAATTTAAAGTTTTACCTGACATAGAAAGATCCGAATAATTTACATCGTGTACAGAGTCAACACTTTTATTCTCTTGTGTTGTCTTATCTCCAGCAGCCATTGCTTGATACTTGGTGCAGGAAACTTTTAGACATGTGGAACAAATATGGTTTAAGGGCTAGATTTTTAATAGTAAGAATGTAAAAATATTTGCAGTGCATTATAAATGTTTTCAAAAGCACACAATCTAAAATATAAAAATTAACGGCTTTTAAACGATACGTTTTCTTTCCTATAAGAATATTTTTAATTTTAGAAAACATACAAAAGATTTTTACAAATATAGATGTATATTACAATACATAGGATGAAATGATTTGAAATGAACGATGTAGTCAAAAAAGACAAAACGTATATTAATTAAAGTGTAGTGATGTATATTTTAATTAGCATATTTGTCGAATGTCTTTGGTCGTTGTAAATTAATAATCAAACAAATTATATTTTTAAAAAAGTAAAACTCTACCACATAATAATATTATAAAATTACCAGAAATCATTTGTTTAAGTTCAAGTAGGGAATTATTTACTGTTGTTACCATAGAAACAACTTCTTTGAAATCTATTTTTGCATCTGAGGGATTGTCAAACCATTCCAGTATTGCTTGTTTTACCTAGACATGATATAACATAGACGAGGATTGAAATATTTTAAGATTATTGTGCTATTTAATTTAGAAAAAAAAAGAAATCTAAAATATTAATATTCATCATTGTTGTATTGGGTGTTTAATAAGGTAATTCCACTACCATGTATAAATCTATTTACAGAAGGAATGTGGATAGAAAATGAAATTTTATATCACCATTTAGCAAAAATTTGTGCATTTATAAATAGCCCTATAGTAGCATTAACGTTTGTATTTCTTAAGCAGCTTAATAATGTTCTAGATAATTTAAAGTATTGTGAATATGAGATGTGCTTACCTGCTGGTCAAAGTCACTTAAATTATTTTTCAACAAACTTTTCATCTCTTCCAGATTGTTCAACAGTTGAGCTAATTGCTCCTTCATAGGAATCGATACGGCCATCTGTATGAAAATATAAACTGATTTATTTTTATTATTTCCTTTGAATATATTCTTTATAAATAGATCTACTATTATTAAACAATATTGATTACCATACTATTACATTAAAATGTACATAGACAATGTGTAGTCTATAGTGTAGGCAAAAAAATAAAATAATATAACATATTTCATCAAACTTGTGAACATGATTTATTTGTTTGTGTGTCACTAGGTTGGTGTACAAAGTAAGGATCTAATTTTAATTTTGGTGAGCAGGGTAGTGCATAAATACACAATTATATAATTAAAAGTTTCTTACCTCATTGAATTTTCAATAGAGTATCTCAATGTAAACTGCAACGTAGAAAATGATGTTTTTAGTTTTAGAATATCTGATCAAATTTCCCAATGCAAACTGTAACATGCAAAATGATATAATTAAACGTAGGTTTTCTTAACTCAGTGAATTTATGATAAAATATCTCAATGTAATAAATCATACAAAAACTTAAGCAAGCAAGTTCATATTTAAATTATTAACATAATTCCTCTATTTTTTATGCTTTATATTTCAAGGTGAAGAAAGAGTTTACTTCTGAAATAAACGATTATAGCTTGCTTCTACCAGAACAATCCCTAATGTCTTATATGCTTTCAGACTGTTCACAATAAAACATTAACTGTTGGGGTTCACAAAAAAACATTAACAGTTTGGTTTCGCAATAAAACATCAACTGTTTTCGTTCACAATGAAACATCAGCTGTTCTCGTTCACAATAAAAAAAATACCGCTGCAAAACTGCAAATTACAAGTTAGCTTCCCACTAAATATTAGCCTAAATATGTTTGATTCTGTGCATCACGTTGTTTGACTGCTACAATGTTAACGTACAGGCTGCGCATGTCTAAATGACGTAGATTTTTACTATCGCCAAAGCCGATTGCAAATTCACAACGTTTTTTTATGTAAGTATTTTTCATTGGTGTTTCAAAGTTCATCAAAATCGGATAAACTTGTATTGCAATTTAAACAAAAATATTTCTTACTACTTAAGATTACTATTACATATTGTTTGTGTTGTTTTTAAAAAAAATCAATTAATAACTTATTTATAAATCAACAAAAATATTTGTTGCAGTACTGCAACTTCATTCATGTGGACATACTTTTACACAATTTGTTTTCTTTATACATCAGCATTGGTGATTATATAGAACCTTGTTTTTCTTCTTGTTTGAGCAAAATTATTAAGCAATCAAAGGAAGATTCTCATTGAGCATGAACTACAATACATAGCGGACCACCTTCGTGAAATAGGTGACATGAGTGAAGGTTAAGAATTATATGACGTACACGCTATTGCTGATCCATACTATCTAATTGGATCTCCTGGACCAGTGTGGACCCTGGATCTCCTGTACCAAAGTAGACACCCAGTCTTATGGTCTAGATCACGTGACAGGTGCAAATACCCAGCATATACAGCATATGCTCAAACAGTTTGCGACAATTGCAACGAAAATCTTTATTGTAACAAGATCAACAACTGTCTAAAAAAATTATCATACTACATAATGTTGCAGACATGCAACAATTAGTTTTTAAATTTAAAGTACATGTTTAAACTAAAAAAGAATTTCTTCAGTATATTCTGCATATACCCATCATAAGAATATAATTATATGTTTTTTAAGGATTTTTAAGGATCATGCATTTAATGGTTAAATACGATTACAAATTTTCTACAAACATATTACTTTTTGGGAATAGATTATCAAAATTAAATTAACGCTTAAGTTATTATAATATATAAGATGAAATGTAATGTTTAAAAATACTATATGGATTTTATTATCCACAAAATGCTAAAACTTAATTGATTTAACAACAGACTTTCCAAACGAAAATTAATACTTTGTTGCATATTACAGTCTACAATAATATAAAATCTTAGAATTTTTATATTTTGCTGTTAAAGAATTATCTGTAAATTATCCGTAAATTATATATATTTTTTAACAAAAACTGTAATTATAATGTAATTGACACTGTATTAGCAAATGCAAAAGAATCATTTGATTTTTTTCTTGAGTTGACATAATTATCATGAATTCGTTAGATCATACCACGTTTGCGTCTACCAATATTAAATAATATGTACTTATAATAAACAAATACACCATACAAAAACAGGCTCTAGAAACCAGTAGCGTCTAATTAAGGGTGTAAGACATTTCAGCTCATTTGGTGCTTCAATCTATTTATTCAGATTTGTTTCAAATACACTACGACATGTACCTGCTATGGTAAAGCTTTAACTAGAAGGTTGGATAATGTACATCAAGAAATGACAGAACGGCAATATATAATATAAAGTGTAGTAGTAATAAAACAGGTAGTTAGTGCTAGTATTCTCACGATTTAATCATAATTAGAAATAGTAGACTTGGTCAACAAGCAAACGGTTGTCTAAAAATTATAAAAGCTAGAAAAAAAGACAACTAGATACCTCACATACATTACTAATCAGACGTGCGCTGTATTTATCACACATATCAGAAACATACAAAACATGTCAGACGCAAACAAAACATATCAGACACATACAAAACATATCAGACACATACATAAAATATAAAACACATAAAATACCTATCAAACATAAGTAAAACTGGTCAAACCCACCAATAATTATTACGAAACGTCATAGCTACTGCTGTTGCTGATGATTAGTTTTAAACTTGAAATATTTGTTTTAATCCTTTTTTAAAACGTTTGTCATTATAAGCAAATTTTGAATAGTTTATTAACTCAGTTTTGAAAAACAAACATCACAAATAAACTAAAAATGTTACAATTATTTCTTATATTTAATTGTAGAGTTGCAAGAAAAAGCAAATGCCGAGCAATAGAAATATTTTAAAATACCTTTCGAGATATTCTATTTTTAGAAATGGCACAGCCTTATTTAGGTACAATCGGGAAAATCAAAAATGACCGTGTGAACCTACCGTATTTAAAAAAATAAATAAGATAATAAATATACATTAAATTGAATTAGATTTGTACAAATGCCTTAACAGTTTTATGCAAGGGCCTATACAGTAACGCATGTATTGTATAAATCTTAAATAGCTAATTGAAAACATAACATTACATTCATAAAACACAACGCTATAGAGTGTTACCCCCAAATGTAACAGATCAGTAAACAGATTAAAAGCCAACAGAGTAATAAATGTTGACCATTTCTGACAATAATGTATCAGCTTCTTGAATCACTTCTGATAATAATGTAACAGCACGTCTTCAACTGCTTCTCACAACGTAACAGTAGACGCTCACTTCTGACACCATATGTAACAACATGTATTCTTTGTTGTTGTGGGTTAGCTTTCATACAGGAACACGAGCAACAGTGGCAACTTCAAATGACAACTTTATTTACACTATGTACAGATAAATCCGTGGTACATCCATATTTGAAGATCAACTGATATAGGTACAAATAATAATCACGACTCCAAGTCATGGAGACATCTTACATTCACTGCCATCGTTCCAGTCCCCAGTCCTAGCACACAACACCCGTTCACCTTTCGCTCTCTCTTTTATTCACCACTTTCTCTCCCCTTACGTCAATGAGCGATCTCACCCAAAACACGGAAAAACACATGACGATCGCTCAGACAGTCCTTCCGCTAGCCAGGTACTCTTCATTCATGCAAAACACAATATAATAAAGATACATAATAATACAGTCTGTGACACGTCCCCCCTTCGAATAAAATTTTGTGTAACAAAATTTATAAATACAATATTAGTAGGGCAGGATCATGTGCCAGACAACAAAATTTATAAATACAGTATTGGTAGGGCAGGATCATGTGCCAGACAACAAAAAATTGTGTACAACTCAAAGTAGAGTAAAATATATTCATTTTAGACTAAGCACTTGTAGTCATAAATTTATAGTGCATACAAATACAACAGTATGTAGTGACTATATCAGTGATAATTAAAATATGTCAGTGTTTTGAACAAAAACTTTAAATGTACAAGCATTATATTTAATATTTAATGCATCAATATACATTCACATAGGAGGAAAAAATATTTCAATTACCCAATAACTGTAGTATAAACAAGACAAATGAGTTTAATAAATTACCAAACGAGTCTGGTACATGACCTTATTACCAAACATAATACATAGTTGAAATTATCAAAGACTTAATTCAACTCATAATTTAAATAACTATATCCTATGTGGTAAAAAAAAACTTCCTTATCATCAAGGTATGTTATTACCACGCATGAGTAATATACTTTGTTGTCTCCCCTAGTCGACCCATTTCAGTCATATCTAGGTCACAACACAACATTCTTGCCTTTCACAGGTATCGACTGATACAATTCATCATTGAGACTTCCGTCTTATTGTTATGCGGAATAAATAGTCTCTAACTTTTACTTTATACATTATTCCCTGTTAATTAATAGTATAGAATAGGTTTAACATAATACAGTTTACATTCTTTAGATATAGTACACAATTTATGTTTACTCAAACACATTATTTGATATTTATATATTACAGTTACAGACTGTATAATATTAATAAACTGTCAATTGATAATTTAATCTTAGCATCCTCTATAGCATGAGTAATCGTTCTCGTGCAGTTGACGATGACCTGTATGCCATCTCTCCCTCAAATTGTAGCTTTTAGCTTTGCTACCATAATCATTTCCTAGATTTCGTGTAACTTGTGTTACTTCATTTGTTTTAATATTCTCCTCTGGTTTCTGAACAACGTCAGTAGTTATCTTGCTTTGTGTACGTTCGTTTGGTTCATCAACCAACTCAATATAAATATTATGGCATTGCTTTGGCCTCTCATAATATGTGTTGCGTCGGTAACTTCCATTAGTATACCTATTCACACTTTTGTTATTCTGATTTGAACTTGATACATTATTTCTTAAATTACTGTATTTCTCATATGACTTTCTGTGTACATAATTGTTTCTTCTCTGATTTGCCAACCTATGCCAACATTGATTTTGGTAATGACCTGTTTTTCCGCAGTAAAAACATCTAGATTTTGGCTTCTTATAAACATGGTGACTGTTTGCTAAATTTCTTTTTCTTTCATTCTGTGCATTAATGACATTGATGACATTCTTATTAACATGTTGACTGTATCCATAGTTTGATAGGATTCTTTTACTGTCAGTTTGTAATTTATTGACATTGTAGTTTGTAGATATTTTTTTATCTTTCTTAACTTTCTTGTGCTTCTTTATTGATTCTAGTTCACACACAAATTTCTGTGTTAATTTCTCCATTTCTTTGTTAAATTTATTCTTGAGTTCTAGTATATCTTCTTTATAGTTTGACTCCAATTTTTTAAGTAACTCTTCAATAGGTACGTTCTCTTCATTATGGCTTATTAAGTTCACTGATTCATTAATCATCATTAGTTTATCATGATTCCTGCCATTCTCCGATGGACTTATTAAATCATTACTGCCATTCACTGATGGGCTTATTAAATCATTTTGACTACCATTCTCTGATGGACTTGTTTCTTGTTGACTGCCATTCTCTGATGGACTTATGATACAACTTTCAATAATATTCTCGTGTACCTGCGTTTGAGTCAATAAAGAGTCACTCTTAAGACATTCTAATGTATCTGTCACCTTTAAATCATTATTAAGTTCAACATCTGTTTTATCCTTGGGTTTCAATTCTTCCTGGACTATGTTACTCTGTTCTTCATTCCAAAGGTTGCCAATATTTACTTCTTCAAGTTCTGCTTTAAATTCTGTCTGTTCACTTTCTAATTTTGGTTCATTTGTGTCTGTTACAGCTTTCATTTCTAATAGTTCTTGTTTATATTCTAGTTCATGTAGGCCTACTTGTTTTTCCATAGTTTCAGCCCTATTATCTGCTCTCTGTTTTCTGTTTCTTTTTTTTCTCTTTCCTTTTGGTTGTACAGTCTCCTCTGCTTTATCTACTTCTGAAATGTCTTCTTCTTTATGCATGTCTGTAATAGCTCTTGATCTATTACACACTACATCTATCACATCATCTAGTTCTCTCAATACATTTCCATGAGCTCGTCGGGGTTGGTCTGTTTCTTCGTCCCATGCTTCTAATGCTTTTTCTATGTCTCGGTCAAATCGAGTGTTTGCCCAGGCTATCTGCTTCTTCATCTTCTTAATGCCTTGCGCCCTCGCTAGTGCTAGATATTCTTCAAAACATAACATTTTGATATATTTTCTATTTATGACATAAAATATAAATTCATTAGTTAACAATAGGTAAGTGTTTATTAATTTACCAATACCATTTCTTGTATTCTGGCTTTGTTCAGTTGATTACAGACATCTGGTAATCCAAGAAAAGTTCATAGTACATATATACGTCCAAAAATAGTTCACTTTGTTGATTCCAAAAAGTTGAAAAAATTCAAAATAGTTCTAGTAGCCTGTTACAGAGTAGAAATTTGTCCAGTTTTAGATAAGACATCTTTAGGAACAGTTTACAATTAATAAACTAGATCTGCTAATCCACAGTTGAAAAACTTGAACAGCTAATCCATATAGAAAAAACTTGAACAGCTAAATCCAAATAGAAAAAAAACACACATTTGTAGGTGTAACAGTAATCTGTTACAGACGATATGTATCCGACATTGGTAAGACAATGTCGAAAATAATGTGATAATAATTATCACGTTGATTACTTGACTTGACTGTAGATAACTATTAATACTTTCAAGTACTTGCTTGATATACCAGCGTTGTTCACTGGCAAACAGTGGAAGACCACTTCAAAAACGTTGAAAACTGCTTACAATAATAATGTGACAATTCTTTGATCACTTGTGGTCACACTGTAACTTCGTTGAAGATTTCTAACTTCAATCTAATCCATCAATGTAACAACATCAGTGTAACAACTTGAGTATACGTCCACTTCAGCCAACAGAGTAATAAATGTTGACAATTTCTGACAATAATGTATCAGCTTCTTGAATCACTTCTGATAATAATGTAACAGCACGTCTTCAACTGCTTCTCACAACGTAACAGTAGACGCTCACTTCTGACACCATATGTAACAACATGAATTCTTTGTTGTTGTGGGTTAGCTTTCATACAGGAACACGAGCAACAGTGGCAACTTCAAATGACAACTTTATTTACACTATGTACAGATAAATCCGTGGTACATCCATATTTGAAGATCAACTGATATAGGTACAAATAATAATCACGACTCCAAGTCATGGAGACATCTTACATTCACTGCCATCGTTCCAGTCCCCAGTCCTAGCACACAACACCCGTTCACCTTTCGCTCTCTCTTTTATTCACCACTTTCTCTCCCCTTACGTCAATGAGCGATCTCACCCAAAACACGGAAAAACACATGACGATCGCTCAGACAGTCCTTCCGCTAGCCAGGTACTCTTCATTCATGCAAAACACAATATAATAAAGATACATAATAATACAGTCTGTGACATAATACAGTCTGTGACACTCTGTAAAAAAATATAAATCTTATAAAATATGTTAAACACACCTTGGCTAAGTAAATATTATCAAAGAAAACTTAAACAGCTATCTCAGAACGTTTAGACTGCAACTGAAACTGAAAGTGACTTACGGGAAATCCCGCTATTATCTGTTTTTAAATTCCGGAAGTCATACATTTGTCAACACCGTTGTCAAGTCAGTGATGTATTTTTACAAGATCTAGCTGTAACATATTTTATGAGGTAAAATCAAGTCATACCCAGCATTAGTATGTCATTATGTGTTTGTTAGCGCTATGTATTGGTTAGCTATATTGTATCAGGGTTGTATAATGTCGTTTAATGGTATGCTTAGGTTAAATTTAACACTATTCATTGCAGTATTATTACATTTCAGTATCTGTATTGTTAACAACATGAACATATTTTACAATAGGGCCTGTAAGTAAGTCACAACTTCTCGTTCTCGTACTTGCAAGCTAGTAGATTTCGAGACCGCAGACTTACAAGCCCTATTGTAATTCTTAAATAAACATACACCAGAGTCAGTGGCGTAGCTAGGATTTTCGGGCCCCTATGCAAAAATTATTATCGGGCCCTTACTCCACTCTGTAAATTGTGTATTTTATACGTACTAATTGTGTGTTTATACGGCATTATTATGTAGAAATCCGTATCGTAAAATGCCTTTGATTTTATATCACTTTTATGTAAAAACAAACCAATAAATTAACTATAAGCTTGTAACATGTAAGTAACCTAACACAGTAGCGTCACAGGGCAGGAGCTCACAATTAAGTCTTGACACCATGACGAAAACTCGTAAAATTTACCATTAAAACTGTTTTATTCAGTTAAAATAATAAAACATTAAGGAGAGGGGGTAACACTCCACCGGAAAGGCAAAATTGTTAGACGGAGTGGGGGTGACACTCACTGAACGCACCGGGTGATATTGAACCTTGTGACACCACTACCCAAATACACATTTTTAAAAGTTGCTAATGATTTATTTAGATTTTTTTTCTTTCTCATAAGTTTGCAAAGTGATTAATATGTTCCTTGAGGTCCATTTTAGATGCTTCTGTATGTTCGATACTTAGGGTGGCCAAGTTATCGACCCAAAGGGCATATCTACAGCTTGTTTCATAACACTATAATAATGGAGAGACTCGGGACGCCTAATTGGCCTAATCGTATACTGCTGCCGAGGCGGCTGAAGGACACCCATTATTTTCTTTAGTCATTGATTATAGTAGCCCTCCGTATCCCTATGGTATAGCGCTCATTAAAACCGTGAATGCGCCGTAGTGCTCACGGGCGGAGCCCGGTGCGCCGGTTGATGCACCTGTACAGTCTGACCGTTGAATTAAGCAGTAACTGTGGCCCCCAGTACAGGACACCCAATTAACCGATCCGCCTCACTGTCAAGGGGGGCGCTCTCTACAAACGAAATTTTAAAAAAATTTGATGGCGGAAAACTTTACAGGAGTCAGAGTTTCTTTCTAGCTTCTCTTCGAGGGGGGGGTGGGTTGGGGGAGGCACTGCTTCTCATGTGCGTGGTTGTGGTGGGAAAATACACGGTCAGCAGAGGTTTGTCTGAATTATTCTTAACGACTTCCCAATGTTTCTTGGCGATTTGATAATTTTTGTATTAATGCATAAAGGACAAGGAAACGGACAAAAGAAAATCTTTAGGTAGAGGCATATTGATAAGAGATAAATTAGATCAACAAACAAATTGTGATTAAGGTTAAAACTATTAACACATCGACACATTTTCGAAGTAGCTTGGTGTGAAAACACTGTCTACGGCTCTTAACAAAAAAAGATTGGTACATTCGTAATCATGGATGAATGAAATTTTGGTAAGGACAGAGAGTCGAGAGGAGAGGGGGTGCAGGTTTGTGGCGGTGGGGTAGAGACAGTGGCGTAGCGAGGTCGGGTGTCAGAGAGGTTTGAGCGATGCGTATAAATTTGCGGGTGCCTTATGCCTATCTCACAAAAGAGTCGATGTTAAAGTTTATTTATAGGCTAATTCTCTGAACGGTTTGTCCGACAATGCAACAATGCCTATAGTATTATTAATATCGGTGGGCCCTGTACACCCCCTCCCCAGTAAGAAAGGTCTGGGGGCCATTGCTAAACATTTGATTACTTCTACAGTAGAAAAGAAACCAGATTTCCGTTTTCTTTAACAAATTTATAATATTTATAATATAATAAAAATATCAAAACTCCAATGTAAAAGTTTGAAAAAATTTAAAGAGGGAAAAGGGCCCCTACTTTCCTTGGGCCCTATGCCTTGCTTACCCTAGCTTTACGGTAGCTACGCCACTGACAAGAGTAGTGCAGACATTAACATTAGCTGTTGACATGTACACGTGCAAGAGTGTAGTCCACATTTTAAACTGAATTAGGCCTATATATTTTATACATTGAAATCGTGGAGGAAGCACACAGTCATCTTGTTTGGGTGCTGTTATTAGTAGCTTTTACAATATCGGCTGGTTGAAACATGTTCCTTTACGTTTTTCAAAAAAGAAATTGTTTTATTACCATAAACATACGTGGAGTGAATAAGTAGTATCAGTCTACATTGTCAAATCATGGACATTGGAAAACTGATGTTGGTATTATTTTTCTCTCCGGTTGCTTTATGGTACGGACAGAATAACAGTATCATAAGTAGACGAACTTTATTACAATTATTTTTTTTCTTGCCGGAACAGTCATTTTTGCAATGGTAATTAGTTACTATTATTTCATATTATAACCCCAAGAAATGACTAAAATTGATTCTAAATGGTAAAAGATAATTTAGGACGGCGTAGCAGTAGAGAGCGGTAGAAAGATAGATTCAAGTTCGAATCCGGGATTAAGTCAGTACAGTATCTCTAGTCCACCCAGCTGTGGTGGGTGCCTAACTCACGTTATGGAAACAAAGGCCGTTGGGCATACTGCTGACCACACTATCCATTTATACGCCGAGGTATCTGAAGCAGATGAACTTTACAGCTTCTACCCCATGTATCTTGGGTACGAACGGCACAAAGATGAAAAGATAACCTAAAACGCTAATGAAACTAAAAAAATGTATTGGGAATTTTTTTTAAATTATCTGTAAATTAAATATTTTAGTGCATTTAATTAGATTTGGTGCGTTTAAATGTTAATTAATTTTATTATGCAGGCTTTATTTACACTTTAATAGCTGAATTTTGAGATTAAAAATGTTGGTTTAAATAACTTTTTGAGACTCTTTTTTTCTAACTCATTTTTATTAAAACGCCATTAGCATTAGGGAATTCAAGACACGTACACATGCTCACACTTAACTTGTTTTATTAACAAATGAAAGGTTATCTATTATAGTAATTATATTTGAAGCTCATGCGACAATTGGAAGTGACTGGAAAATATTTGTAACTATAATTTGTTTTCTTTAGATGCGTCCCAGAATTCAGCTGAGGTTTGTTGGAGAACAGATGAAGTATTTGGAAGAAAAAATGCAATTGATGGAACCTGTTATTGGCGTAATGAAATATGTGAGAGATTATTCATATGTTTAGATATAAATTGTGTTATTGTCGTGTCGGGAATTAGCATGTAGGTAGTAGTCAGTTACGTTTAGCAGCCACATAATTTCTACTACTTCAACATGTTTTATGTCATCAGGCATTAGAAAAAAGTAAGACGTGGATGGAAGATAAAAATGACAACCCGTCTATCACATACATTGAGCTTTGCAATGAACTTGCATCAGCAACCACGGCCTTGTTGGATTTAGCTTCAAACATTTTAGGTAATCATTGAATACAGTAATTCTATCTAATTTATGTTATCAGTAATGAACTAAAGATAAAAAATAATTGCAATTTTAATTCAACTTATTATGTATACTTTTACCAAAAGGCGAAAATGAAGAGCTTGTCGATGTTGATGGTAGAACGCCATCTTTAGCTCAGTCTACTCTAGAGCCTACAAAAACAGAGAAACCTGACCAAAGTGAATCAACAAATCAACTGACTAAACTAGTTAAAAATCAAGAAGGTATAAAATATTTTGTTTTCACTAAGTTAAAATTTTAAAAATAGAACAAGAAGTGTGCAAGCATTTAACTTATTATATTTAATTGAAACACTGCTATAACATTATTTGTTATACATTGCAGAAGTATTCACTCGACTGGGTCTTTTAGAAAACAGCATATCTTGTCTACAAAGTTCAATACAAAAATCTAAAGAAGACACGTCAGAAATAAAACAATGGAGAAACAACTTTGTAACAGAAAAGTGTGACATGGAGTTAAACATTGACCAACTGACTAAAAAACAAAAGCAGAACTTTAAAAACCTTAAAAAACAAATAAGTGAACAGGATAACAAAGTAAAGGAGATGAACAGAGAAATCGAAAGTTTAAAAGAAAAAGAAACCAAGTCAAACAAAACACTAGAGAAACTGTCTCTAGATATGAAAGAATATGAAAACAACTTCCACAAAATAAATAAAGAGATGCAAGATCACACAAATAAAACAGACAGTATAACTCAAGAAATTAAAAGACTTTCTGATTTGATTGTTTCTTTACAAGAAGATCATAATAAAATCGTGGTCAATACATCAACCGGATTTGAAAAGTTGCAATCAAAGGTAAACTGTAAAACTGCAAATTATTTTCTATACTAATCTTCTTCTGAATGGTAGTTAATGTACTTTAAATTTTTAATTATACCAATAGTAATACCATTTATTTTAATTTTCTGTGAGTTTTATTATGCAAAAAAAAAGTTAAATGTATACATTTTCAATTGTAATCGTCGCTCATTTAGCAGTGTGTGTTGTACAAGCTCCTACAACAAAGATTGATGCCCATTGACAAACTGATTCAAATCTCTAACCAGAACTTGGAAACTAGGGAAGAAAAAATAAAGAAGGCATGTTTGTAATAATTGTATACAAATGATTAACATTGGTAAATCCTAAATTACTCACATAAAGTCTGTTATTAGACTATTCATATTGTTTTTGAAATTCACTGATAAATAATTTTAGTACTTAAATAAGAATATATTTTCAATCATTATCTTATCTTACTAGTTGCCATTATCTAGTGGGTAAGTCGTACATTTAGCCAATGTAGACATGTGATTCCATCATTTATTTCCTTTATTTTAATTTAGCTTGGTGAACTAGAAAATACTATTCTAAAGTTGTCCAACGATTTTCATCTCGTCGGTAAGTTTCTTTTAAAGAAAAATATTTAAAAACTTATTTATAAAACAGATGTGATTTAATAACAATTCTACCATTTACTTTTCTCGCTTGAATTTAACAATAGTAAAAGCTATTATATAATGCTCAATAATAACAAATCGGTAAATGTTTTATAGGTTTGCTTACCTCCGTTCAACATTTATTCCCCCCTTTCTTACGCTTTCTCCAAATCACTCTCTGCCTTTCTCTTACACGAACGCATCTACTTGGTAAACGAAGTTAATGTCAGACAGACCATAACGTGATGTTCGATAGCCAGACAGACCATAACGTGATGTTCGTTAGCCAGACATACCATAACGTGATGTTCGTTAGTCAGACAGACCATAACATGATGTTCGTTAGCCAGACAGACCATAACGTGATGTTCGTTAGCCAGACAGACCATAACATGATGTTCGTTAGCCAGACAGACCATAAAGTGATGTTCGTTAGCCAGACAGACCATAACGTGATGTTCGTTAGCCAGACAGAACATAACGTGATGTTCGTTAGCCAGACAGACCATAACGTGATGTTCGTTAGCCAGACAGACCATAACGTGATGTTCGTTAGCCAGACAGACCATAACGTGATGTTCGTTAGCCAGTCAGACCATAACGTGATGTTCGTTAGCCAGACAGACCATAACGTGATGTTCGTTAGCCAGACAGACCATAACGTGATAAAGAATGGAACATTTCACTCACCCATAGTGCCAGTCTCTATACCCGTGGGTTTCCGTCAGGTGTTTGTTTCCACACCTGGTACATTACACCACCTGGTATGTCGGGGTGGGGGGGGGGGGTCGACCTACAGCGGCCTATCCTAGTACAATAAGTCATTTACAGAGCTGTAGTTTAAAATTAAATAATATCAATTATCGTCACATCATCCTTTTATGTTTCTAATATAAAGACGGAGTCCCATACGGGCCAGGGGTTAAATCTAAAATAAAATAATAACTGAAAGACAAAAATAATTATTACATTTTTAACATCTTGTTATCAAATTAATTTATTGTGACATGTAATGAGCTATAATATAGGTTGATGGTGCTAGTTTTGTCAACCTTTTTATAAGCGTTTTAAAAGTACAACATTATAAATTTAGTTCTAGAGATTCTTGTTACGATAAATTAACCTTAAATAATTAAACTATACAGACTGAATAATTATAACAACGCATATAACCTTTGTCGTACTATTTTTGTGAGGTATTAATTGAATTACTACACTCGTAGTTTCAATACGTAGGACACGATAAACTAACACCACTAAAACTGAGGACCGTACTAAACTAGTGGTCTAGTGTCTCAATTAGTGGTCTAAGACAAAATTATGTATTTTTTTTTGGATTATTGTACACAATGTATTTTATTTAAAAATTGTTTGATTTGGGTTTGCCGTTTTTACTTACATTTTGAACAACATTCAAAACACATATAATTAGTTTATGTTTAGTGTTAGTAACATAAACTAATAATACGACAATACAAATATTATGGATTAAATAGTCAGAGCATGGGGACCATCCTTTTATGGCGTCCACACGTGGGAGGCGGGGTGGGGGCGGTGTCCGAAGAAAATATACTTTTGTAAATGCGTGTGGACTGGATATGGGAGGGGGGGGGGGGGGGTCGGGACATTATCGACGTCCACATGTTGAATTTAACAACAAAATATTTTTTTTAAATGCACATAAAATGTTGGTTATACATTACATAGGCAGTTCTCGTGTTGAATTTCCCCAGCACAACAGGTGAATAAATGTAGCCAACTTATAACTGTTTACCGCCAGCCTAAGAAAAAAAGCGGAGATTTATTTACAATTGGGAGGGAGAGGGGGCAGTGACCGCAACAATTATCTAAAATATTTCACGATATGTCAAGTTTATTTTTTAAACATTTCAAACAATTAAAGCTTAACTTTTAAAAACAGTTAGATCTAGGCTGTGATTGATCCTGTGACTAAATCATTGTAGGACTACATAATTCATTTGTGTCAAACCTAAGACAATGTAGATTTAGTGTTTTTAGCGCAATTTCCATTCTGGAGAATTGCGTTTATTAACTCGTCATTTCTGGGAATGGATGGATGAATGAATGAATGTATGGATGAATGTGTGTCCGGGCTTTAAGTCGTATCTCCTCCTCAACGAAGCAATATCGATGACTAGTTCCAAAAGCAATTATGTTAAGCAAGTTACGACAATGAGCATAGGCCATAAAAATTCCGGGTTTCTTTCATGTATTTCCCGGAAAAGACCAAAAACCTCGGGAAAATGCAGTTTTTGGCCCATATCTCGGCAACCAGACCACTTAGCGACTTGAAACATGTACCAATCGATTCCTACCATAATTTAGAACAATATTGCCGAAGAAAGTTTTCAAAAATATCCTCTCGTTCGTGCACAAATTTTAAAATTACATAAACACTTACAAACCGATCGTTCTTCTAGTTTGAACGCACCCCAGCATTATACGTCAGAGCTATTTTTAGATAACATAAGGAAATTGCGCATAAATGTCACTAGACTTTTTTAATTAACTTGTTTTCTTTAAGTAAAAAAAACTAAAATTATCACGTTACAGTAAGATATTTAAATAACAGTACGTGTATAATATGCTCGCTTCGTCAGGTTTGTAGGGCTCACGGTAGGGCGACTTCTACTAAAGGTGGGGGGGGGGGGGGGGGGCAGGTGGTTTGTTATGGAAACATGTGTAGCGTAAAGTTGAGTAAGAGTAATGGAATGACGTCACGTATATTCAATGAATTTACCCAACCCATTTATTCGTTAATAGCTAGACAGACATAAATGACATTAAAATGTTCGGTCTACAGCATCTTAAATAAACATTTGTGTTAAAATTAATAATGTTTGTGGACGTCATAGATGGATGACACCATTCGTGAAATTCAACATGTAAATCATACATATGTTTTCTAATCAACAGAGTCACGTGTATGTAACAGATATGCTTGTTATGTACAGCTTGCTAATCCCACACCTGTCAGTGATAGATCAATTATTTCAACATTTAATGAAGTACGTGAATATAACGGTCAACAGTTTAATCGAACAACAGGAAAATTTGTATCACCACATGATGGTTTATATCTTGTCTATGTCACTCTACATGAATGGGGAGATAAACAGATTAGAGTTGGTGTGATGGCTGGAGGCGAGTGGTGTAAGTCTGTAGAAGTAAAATGTGCCGACACTAGCGCTGCTGGGTCAGTGGTTGTTGACTTGAAGAAAGGTCAGGAACTTTACTTCGAAGTGTATCACGCAGATCAAGGTGCAGCTTTATCCTGCTACAGTAGTTTTACTATCGTTAGTTTATAGAAGTACAACACAAAACATGGTGGATGGTAAATTCTCAAAACAATAAAATATGTAACCACCCTGTAATACACACGCTAACCACTTTCTATGTATGTAGACTACATGTCTGCACAAACTTAAGTTGTTTATATGTTATTTGTTTAATTATCATTTTGGAGTTCTAGCTAATTCAATGTACTCACCAATAATGTGTCATACTTGACGCCACTAAGCTCATATCTCTAATAGACTATAAGACTGCTCTGTTTAAATATCTTTATCAGTATGTGAGCACTAGGTGTATTGTTATGATGTATTTTTTGGATAGATATTAGCACGAGTGCAGGCTGGTGCGAAGAGTATAGTGAACACATTGGTATGATGACACATTGGAAGTTAGTGACGTATTTGGGAAGAGACTTGGTTGCTATTAGTTTGTGTGTGAGGTATTCTAATCTTGATCGTCGGTGTGAAAGGACATGTGCTGGTTGGCATGTCTCAAGTTGAGAGATAGATTCTAGGAATATAGATGTGTGGATACAAGAATAAAGATTCGTGTAAGGAGTATTTAGTTCATCTTATCTCTAAGCGTCGTATATTCGTCTGAACGTGAGATTGCCTTATTGGTTCTTAAGGTTGGAACTTCTCTCCCTGGTAGTGGAGATGAACTAAAATGGTAGTCGACCGAGTCAAGTGACTCAAACCCTCTCACACTAAGCAAAGCGTAACACGTATGGTCTAATTATAATTTTCGTGTTGTTACAAAAAATACTTATACCTGGAACTACATGATTATGAACTATTAAAAATAACGATTGTTAGAATAAATTCATTTAACAAACACTATCAATTGTATTGTGTATTAAAAACATTAATTTGTAATAAATATTAAAGAATTTTTTTTTATTATTATACTGCAAAGAACTGTTGTCGTTTTGATCACTACTGCCTTTAATTTGAAAAAAAAATTGTTTCCGTGTTATTAATTTTTTTTTGTATTCAGTAACATTGTGTCTGTAAATTAACATACATTAACACATATAATAATTAAAACATCTATTTAGCTATCAAATGTATATATGGTTCCATGACAAATGATCTCAGGACAAATGATCTCAGACAAAATATCTCAGACAAAATATCTCACGGACAAATGATCTCAGGACAAATGATCTCAGGACAAATGATCTCAGGACAAATGATCTCACGGACAAATGATCTCACGGACAACAGATACCAGGACAAAATATATCAGGACAAATGATACCATGGACAAATGATCTCAGACAAAATATCTCACAGCGAATTTTTAATAGTATTTACGATGATTTTAGTTGAACTTTCTTATTGACTGTTAATATGGTTTTGTTTACTTTTTTACGTATAATAATTGTGAA